GTTTTGTTTTGGATTTCATGAATCACCCCCGATAACGAGTTGCCTTCATTGGAAGCAAATCTGATAAAATTATAAGGCGGAATATGCTAGGATAATGGCTACACTGTGGAAACATTGCGGGAACGCAATATTTCGTAGTTTAGTCACACGAGAAACAAATGTTACCGACGCAAGTCCCAATGTAACTTAATCAAAACAAAAACATTTAAATTTTACTGTCGAAATTGACAAGTTTTGCCGTTTGGACAAATTTGGACAAGCTTTCCTCCCATAATAATACCAAAATTTGTTTTTGATATTCGCGGTATTGTGGTAAAAAGACCAAAAAATCAAATAAATGCTAACAGCCGCTGATTTGACCGCTTTTTTAAGAATGATAAATCTCTCATAAAGTTTCTCGAGTTTGTGTTGAGTTTTGGTAAATGTTATGGTTTCGCCATTATGAACCATGGTAGGTCAGAAACATTGTTGCTGGGAAATTCTTTATCCCTGCCTCGATCTTAACCTTAACCATGCATGAATTCTCCTTTTATAAAGAAGATAAGATTAAGAAATACGCGCGTTAATTTCACGCACGATCATCAACTCAAAAGCAAAATTAATCGCGCCGAAACATCTCAAGCGGCGAGGATCGACTGATGATTCACCCCCTGGGGATCAGGTACCGGTATATCAAAGGGCAGGGATTTCACTTGTCAAAGTACATGAAGGTGTAAGGGAGGTAGGTATTTTGATTGGTGAAAAGTCCTAAAACGGCTAACAGATGTATTTTATGGCTGTGAAAGAGTCGAGCAAACGTTCTGTCAACATTGGTATATAACAGGGTAAGGGGTTGGACTTCGGTTCGGAGTCTCCCTGTATGAGACTTTTTTTTAACCCCCTCCCCCGGGTGATTCGCGTGCTAGACCTCAACGAGCTTGGGCTCAGTATATTCGCTAAGAACATAATATAACAATACCACTTTATAAGCAGACAAGATCTTGGGTGAATAATCACGAAACTTAACTGATAGCACGCAACTGATGTTATATAAAGGATGATTATGCAATGATCTGAGACCGAAACAACACGCACGGTAATCTTTGATCACTCTTAGATGTTACTCAGTTTTTAGGAACACAAATCAGTGCAAATTTGGAGCAAAGTTATTAAAAAAAAAGAAAATAAAATCCATATATTTTATTACTTATAGGAATTTTCCTTTTCTGCTTGATTCGTGCTTTCAAACTTCATATAAAAAGCAGGTTGATAAGAAGCTACATAAACTGAAGGATACTCGTGTGTATCACGGTAAATTTATCGTTATATGGACAGTCTTAAATTAAGTAGGCCACTGAGGAGGACATTTTTTTTAACTACCCTGTGACACAGAACATTTATTGAGGGGACTGACAGCTAAAAATGACAACAGTCTGACAATTCTAGAAACATGTCACTACTGTTTTCCGAAGAACACGAAATATTATGGAACCCAAAAAGAGAAATACGATCCACGTCGTTCAATACATAAAATAATATACATATCACAACTTATCTGTCACCCCAACTCATCCTTTAAACCTGCTCAGAGTCTGGAAAGTAGCGAGTCAAGATGGAGAATTTTAACACAAAATTTTCAGGAACGTACGATAAAAAAAAAAAGAAAAGGAGGAAATAAAGAAGAAAGAGAGATTAAATTATTGTTTGGGCGTGTTTCTTCATTTTTGATCAATTTAGGTCCAAACGGTTTATCTGCATCTACATCTACGTATATTAGGTCGGCAAAAATCGCTAAGACATCACACCGACCGTTATCCTCTCTTGATTTCAAAACGTAGTTATTCAGGAATTCACCCATGACATTTCCTTTGTTTAGTTTTTTTATAGTGATTTTCGAGTAATCTAAGATTATTTAAAGCAAAAAAAGCATTTTTAGCACTAATCCGTGCATGGCTTAAAATTTCCCCTCTATACCTCGTACTAGCCCTAATTTTCGAAGCAGACAACACAAAGCCTTCTTGATCCCTGTTAACATGAATTTTCACCGCAGTAACCTGAGTAGCCGTTTTAATAGGCAAGCTCAATTAAAGTCAGATCCGCCTCAGTATACTACGCAGTTAAACAGTACCACACGAAAATATTGCTCAACTAAATGTTATTTTAAGGTCATACTTTGAAGAGACCTAAAGATTAATTGCTTTCATTTACATTCAAACGTACATATCTGACTAAATATTATCTTCAATGGAGATAGTTGTTTGCCATTTAAAAAAAGCTGATGGAACACGAATTTTTTGGTCGTTCCAGCACAAAAATATCCGGGAGCTACGGAACATCTGAAAAGGTAGTCCTGTTTTTCCGTACGGAATGTTCCAAACGGAAATTCTTGTTCCATTTCTTCAATAAAGCCATCTTTAATACTTGTTTCAGGTTTTCGTGGCCGTGTTTCGGTAAATGGAACTGGTTTGTACAAATGGTAAACGCGATTCCGGGACGAAAGTTACGAGTCTTAAATTTTGTTTACCATTTACGCAAACCGTTCACCGACCGGTTTGCCCATGTAAATCGCAAACAACCTATGCCACAATACAGAGCTCGGTACTAGTACGGAGTTTGTTTAAACTGCTCAAGTACATTTTGGGAGATAGAAATTTCCTATAAAAGTCGAGGAACAATGAAAAGAAAAAGACACATTTCTCACGGGCAAGTGTCAAAGACTTAAGTTTCAACAGAATGCAAAACTTCGGAATACTTAATCTAGACATTACGTATCTCTTATGCGGTCTCAGGGACGCTGTTTCGCGAATTTCAGCGAGAATAATCTGACTTTTTCAAAAACAGGTTATTAAATTGTGCAAAGTAAGCAATGCTTGGTGTCAACTTCATTGTTATCTTTCTGTAAATTGCTAAATAATGATAACGAAAGAAAGACAGTAATTAGAACTTTATTAGTAGGGCTTTTAAAAATCCCCCGCTGATGTCAACTGTCCAAAATTTTGTTTTGAATTATCTTCAGTGTTTCAAAACTTGCAAATTTTTTTCCATTTCCGATGCTGTGGACTTCTTATTACAAAAAGTAAATATCCTTGGCACCGTAAAGCGAACAAATTTAGCTTACACACTGCTATCTGAAGAAAATTCAAGGAAGATTTTATCAAAGAGATGAACTTAATATTAAATATTAATTAGCACACAAAGTTTTCGATTATTTTCAGATTATCCTCAATAAAGAGTAGCTTGATCGGTCATCACAGAGGGAGCGAATAAATAAAAGAAAAGAAAAGAAAAGGAGTTTTTTGTGCGTAAAAACGACTAACTAAAAGATTTGTTGAAAACGAGATCCTTTCACTATTGCCCTTTAACGCTTGAAAGCTTGACTTAAGTTTTGCTTTCTGTTATTTAATGATACTAATCTTACTTCCTGGCGAGTTTCTATTTCGTACAGAGAAATTTCTTTCAAAGATTTTAACTATCATCTTTGTTTCTTCTGCATGTTGTAATTAGGTAAAATAAGTAGACAGCTGTAGGTCTCTCACAGCCTCCTCTATTCGTTGTTAGACTTCGTTCTAGCAACCTGAGTTACCGTAAAATTTGCAATCAGATACATAAACCGTTTCATTTTGAGAAAAGACGGTACAAAAACGTGAAAGAGCTGTCCTTTAAAACACGGAGTTCGGTCAGTTTGGTCTATGCATAGATCAAGTGTACTTTCTTCGTTGTTAGCCTTCGTTCTAGCCGTAAAGAATGGCTTTATTCTATAAGAACAGAGATTACCCTAAAACACAATTGCTCAAGTCTAGTAAGGGCTTAATCATGGAGCTCGGTCAATTTGATCTAATACATGGGATTCTGGCGCTAATGGCACTCATATTTCCATTCTTTTTACGGTGAAAAGACAAAAAATTAATTTTAAAAAAAGAGAAAATGGTGTTTTAATACTCCTCCGTTAACGCAGTTACATAGCATACAGTTTCTTTCGAAACTACCTCCTTTATAAAGTCACTGAAGGCAAGACTCTTGCACATTACATGACTAAAGGATCAGGGCACAACAGTTAAAAGCTTAATGAATTAAACAATTAAAACGACTCAAAGAAGTTGAATAAATGGAAATAAATCAAGGCTAAAATACTAAAGAGCGTCTTCAGCAGCGTGGCGCCATTAATGTGCAAAAGAATTTACCTACTTCCTCGCGTGTTTACGGAAATTCACTACGTAATATCTGCTTATCTTATCAATAAGCTCCACGCATCGGTTTTGTTTCATCGATAGGGATGTATCCGCAGCATGCTATATAATTAAGACTCTTAATTCAGTTCCACACTTGACCAAGTTGCTTGACGAATACAGTTCTACCACAGGGTAAGTCTAGTCTCAATCACTTTACATCCCTAATTTCAGCCTTTTTAAATTATATATCATCGAGGAGGTATTTTTAGTTTTTACTTTTCGAACAAATGAACAAAGTGTTTGTAACTCTTTGTGTCTGAAATTTGTTTTTCCGTTGCTAAATTATCTTTGAATATAACGAGGAAGTTAGAAAAACGATTAATCCGACGCCACGCTTTTGGTTTTGACTGTTCTTCTTCTTGAAAAGACAGAAACGTTTTCATAACCTGTTACAGTTGCCTCTAACGTTTTCGGTATGTTTCGTGTTTCATTAGCTTGATAAACCTTTTTTGCACCCTTCTTGGTTGCAAACACAATATACCTGACGGCCTTGGCCCTCTATTTATCATGCCTTATACGTTTCTGCGTAATCATCTATAAATTTTACATGCAAAGCCGGAAAATATCTCACTCATAATTTCTCCTAAATCTCTTGATTGAGAATGTGACCTAAACGAAAAACAGTTTCTGGTATTAATTGATAACCGCAGTCCGATACGGCCGAAAAACTGACTGGGTTATTAAGTCGCCCATAAATTAAAAAGTAAAAGCTCAATACTCGCCATTGCTAAAACTGCTTTGCCTTTAAAATTCCTCGTTTTTCAGATCTGACCTCACAGACAGTCCCTCAACATGAACAAAGCACTTCTAACAGTTCTAGTGGTGGCAATAGTAGCTGGTGTATTTGTAGAGCAAAGCAACGCTCTACTACGGGCCGGGAGGGACCGGATCGAGAAGTTTCAACGTGGGCTGAACTCATACAAACAACAGGAGGCGGAAATGAACCCACCTATGGCAGTTTATTACAGGAGAAGTAAGAACACTTTTAAAAGTTAGATACAGTAAAAACCCGCGACTAAGAACCGGTTAGGTTAAAATTTACCAGTTAGGCCCCCTCCATACAATAACCTGTTTAGCCCAAGATTTGAAACAGGTTCTTATTTTTCTAAAATCTATATTAAAAAATTCTGTACATTTGGGCAAATAAGATAAGTCCTGACATTCAGGGTCATCTTTTGAGACATAGTTGCCTTATTATTCCCACTGCAATTGTGATGGTTAATAGTCAGGTTTTACCTAAGGAATGAGCTGAATACCCCTAAATACTCTTAGCTGCAATGTATTTTTTCTTCACAAAATAAGAACCTATTTAAGAACCTAAATAGCCTCAATTTGTGCTAATTACCATGTATGTCTTGTATGTAAGAACCTGTTTAGGCTAACTTGGAAAAATGCAGGTTCTTAGTCGCGGGTTTTTAGTGTATTAGACTTTTTACCCTTTCCGGGCACCTCGTTATCACGGACAGTTTGCTTTGTCTTTAGCGACAGCCCTTTCTTACATTTTCTCTAAATTCAACCCGCTTAATACAGACACCGCGTTAATAAGGACACTTTCTATGGCCCCCTTAGTGTCAGTTGTAACGGGGTTTGACTGTAAAAGATCTTTTTTTGTTGTTACGGAGCGCTACGTAGGACATGATAGAACATAAAAGAACAATACGTAGAACATGACAGGAGAAAAGTCATGGGTTCACTTTCTGATCTCTGGGTTACCATCTCATTCAAACCCTTGACTGAATTTTTTTTCTAGGCTATTTGTTTAAATATTGAACGAGTTTTGATAATTTAAATATCGAGGATAACTTTTTCACGGAGTGGGACTACTCTCTTATCCAACGAGGATAAAGAATTCCAAAAGAAACTTTAACTCTTTGATAAATCTGCATTCTTCCCAGGAGGATTTAGGGGAGAGTAGCAATGCTCCAGAATTTTTTTTCTAGCCCAGTTGTATGAATATTGAACGAGTTCAGATAGTTAAAATATCGAGGATAACTTTTTAACGGAGTGGGACTACTCTCTCACCCAACAACGATAAAATTTTAAAAGAAACTTTAACTCTTTGATAAATCTTCATTCTTCCCAGGAGAATTTAGGGGAGAGTAGCAATGCCCCAGAGTGGTTCTTGGGAAACGCCAGGCTTAGACGAAGACTTCTGGTATCTAATTAAGAGACCGAGATACCGGTAGAATCCCGATTTTTAGAATCTTCTGATTAAAAACAATTAAAGTAGTTCCCATTTTCAGGAGGTCCGAGAAACCGAACTTTGACTCTATTCTTTACGAACACGCTCTACAGAAACCGGGTTAAGCTCGTTAAAGCTTGGGGGAATTTATCGTAAAGTTTGTCAAAAAAGAAACACTTTTTATTTCGCTTTCTTTTCAGACAAGATCGAAAGATCCGAAGAGTAAAGAATTTGAAAGAAGATCGGAACACAATGTTACACATATTTGAAAATCATTCGTAGGTGTGGTCAACTCAATAGTATGGTACAACTGTCACTTAGTGGAGCTAAAACTCTGATACACTTGTAATATAGCGAAAAAAGCAGAATAAAATTTATTGAGTCGCTGAGTCGCCATCATATGTATTATGCTCGTTTTCCTTCCTTCGCTTCCCCAGTTTTCAAGGGTTCCCAATAGGGCTCATATTAACCCCTTCCTTCCTAACCAAATTTTCGCTCAATCAGGTAATTCCGAGGGTAATTGGCTGTTTTTATACAAAGGACGCATTATCCGTCTGGACGAACTTGGACAAACATTTTGTAGTTCGTCTGGTTCTACGTCTCAAGCATAAAGACGGGCACAAGACGCATTACGCGTCCAGATAAACTACCTTTCGAAGCGCGTCGTTCAAGACGTATTACGAGGGAAAGTTCGTCCAGGCGCCTGAGCGGGGTACATTGCTTAATGTATCACGATCGGGATACATTTCATTTTAGTCAAAGCCACATGACCAAGAATCAACCAGTGGCAGTCCCTGTTTAGTTGAGTGAAAGTTTAGGAATATAACAACAGATAATATACCTAATGAGCTATTGCATTCTGCTTTTTGAAGTCACAGAAATAGTACAAATCGAAGGTTTTTTTTCCTCCCGCTTTTTTTGTTGAACCTTTTCTCCAGCACTATGCAGGTATACCTTGTTTTATATGACATAAAACTAAATGCCTTGGTAGAGACATAATGTTTTACTTATCGAAGCTACTTTCGTGCTGTTATCGCAGATGAAGTCGGTCCAAACTGCTCGTTTCGCAGCTAAAAATCTTTAAGGTTTGTTCAGCTTATGGCCGAATAAGATATTACACTGGGCTTGAAAGCGGATTTTAATGCCACTGCTCTTCATTTATACCTTTGTTCATGACTTCAATATTAGCCAAATTAACAAGCTCAAGGAGAAAACGAATGCTCGCAAGGAATTGTAGCTAAGAAAATGTCGTTTTTAGCTCTCTTCAATCTCAGCAAGATGTGGATATTTGTGAAATAACTCAGTGCCATTAATTAAATTACTCTCAGGAACTCAATTCACCCATTTATGCAGTTGGGGGGAAACGAAGACAGGTAAACAGATTATCTTCTTTGTGGTCACCGTGAGTTTGCTCTATTGTTAATGTGAGCTATAAATCATTTCAGACGTCGCAATTTCTTCCTCATCTAAAGACATAATAAATTAAAGTGATTAGCAACCAGAGAAAGCTTGCCGAGAGTAATTTTTAGCGATAAGACTTTCTCAGCCAAACCGCCTAAATACTAAATGAACATTACACAGTATTTCAGGCAATCGGGGTGTACTTACTTAGCGAAAAAATTCCGGAGAATGATGATCAATTTTACCGACTAATTTTATTCAAATACGCGGCCAGATCACAGCCCTTAGCGCAGTTTTATTAAACTTCTTAAGAGTTACGTCTTTCAATTTGAAACTGTCGGCGACGTTTCAAACTTATACATGAGAACTAAGAAATATCAATTTTTTCACGAATTTCTTGTTTTACTCTTAATTTTACCGGATAAATTTTTGATTAAGGAAGCTGAAAAGTTATTGACTTGATGTGATATTTCAGATTATTTTTCAAATTCACGAAAGCTGAAGGTTAGAAACTCTGAATTCTCTCTTTACACTTCCAAGGAAAAGAAAAATAATGGCCTGAAATTTTTACATTGGCTGAAATTAACAGCTGTTTTTGACGCATTAATGTTAAATGACTGTAAAATATAAATCTTATCGTTATCAATGTGTTATATCATTTGCATGAATCTTGCCAGTTAATTTCCTGAGCCAATGAACATGCAATTTACTATTAATACTTCCCTTATACAATGAAATACGATTTCTCTCCTTCATTATGCTTCAACAATTAGTATTATTAATATTACTACTGACGATTACTATTGTTATTATCATTATATTTTTTATGAGACATTCTTTTTAAATTTGTAACTATAACTCCAACCTTGATGATAGTTATAAGTAAACAGTTGCCTCTGTCGGTTTTATTTTATTTATTTTTTTTCAGAAAAAGACTGAAGATAAATGTTAAAAACCTTTATGTTGTTCCTTGAAACTATAGCACTGATACACCGCTATCTATATGCCTCAAATCCCCTCTTTTCAAATCTCAGCAAGACTTTTAACAAGTCATTTTCTTCTTCTGAGAAAGACATGGCGAAGTTAAGGCAGAACAAATGGAAGTTCTGTTTTGGCTGACCATCAATCGAAGTCAAATCTAAGATACTTTTGTTTTATCCCTACCCGTTTACGAAAACATTTGTTTTTCATCGAAGGGTTGTGTAGTCTACAATGTACTATCGAGCAAAACTACGTTCAGACAATTCAAATGTTAAAATATTTAAATTGCTAACGAATTCCTAATTAGTGATTATAGTTGCAGCCTTTACGGGTTTAATTTTCCAAACAAACAGCTTCATTTCTAGACTTTCTACAACTGAAATCGGCCAGCAGAAACAAAGCGAAGAGGTGCTGAAAAATAGCAATTGACAAATACAAAGTCAATATAAAATAACTTACAAAACTGAATGAAAGCAAACAGGCAAACTGAAAATGCCAATAAAACAAGCAAGACACTCACAAGACGATAGCGAAAATCAAGACAAAACACACGGACGAGCCAAGAAAAGACTTGCACACAAAAGTTAAAAAATGAAAGGCAGAAGATTTCTGGCGCTTACAATGGTAAAAACAGATACAAAAATTACATATATAATATACAGAAAAAAAATCTTTAAAGAAAAACGATTCGATTTACAAACTTTGTAAAAAGTAGCATCTAAACTGCTTTTTCTGTTCATTTTTTTCTAATTCATTCTAAATTTTATTTGCTAAGAAATTTCACCTGCGAAAAATGCTTGCTGCCATGCAGAATTCTATCCTTCATCGGATAAAAATTGCCACATATTCACATTTCCCTTTTTCCGTTTATACAATCTATATGCTTCTCTCGGTTTTAAATAATAAGCTTCGTTAAACCTTTAATGGAGTATGTGTCGAAATTCACTTTCATGTGATAAAGAAAGCTCACAAGCGTTAACTGTAAGCAGATAACCCTTTCTTGTTACTCGTATGAAGAGCAAAACGATCAGATATATTATCTTTTTGGATTTAAAAAAAAGAAAATAAAAAGCCGTTGATTCTAAAAACGGAAAGAGGAAATCTGAGGATATCGCAATTTTTTTTTCGTTTTCCACTTCAGTATTTTGTGAATTCACATCCAAAGGTGATGAGACTGAAACTTTTCCAGTAAATCAACCAATTTTCGATTGTGAAATTTTCTTTAATAAATTTGAAAATGCGAAAGCAAAATCCAGCTAAAGTGAATGAAATTGTACTCTTTATAGAGCTCGAGCACATCCTTCGAAGCTTTTGTTTTCCTTATCTTATTTTTGTATCCGTTTTAACCACTAATTCCTAATTCGTTGGATATAAATTAAGCTGCGTTTTGCTCGTTAGCACATTGCAGAATACAAAGTCAACTGTTCAAAGAAGAAAGATCTCTTAAAAGGTGAGAAAAGAAGAATTTTTTAACTTCACTGTTTGCTCGAATACTTTTCCTTTTAATTTTGAGGTACTTAAGTCGTCCCTATAATTAAAGGATTATCAAGGTGTCCCCTTAACAGAGTTTTCTAGGCTTGTAATACGAACAATTATCACACAAAAGATCGAAAATGTTGGTCTGCGACCTTCAAATGCAAATATCAATTCGTGTACTCAGGCAACAATGTTCATGTAATGTGGTGAAGTGCGCTATTACGTACAATATACATAATGCAAAAGCAGATATAAGTTGACAGTCCATGTAGGGTTCTGGATCCCAGACAGTGGTGAGTGAATAAAGAAGGTGCCAAGAACCAATACCCCACTAAATGCAACAAAACATAGAGATCCACCAGACTTGGTACTTTGGGAGTAAAATAAATGCCTCGGGTGAATCTCAAATAAATGCCATTTAATACCTTAGAAATCAAATGGGGCAAGGTTGGCGTAGTGGTGAGAGCCATACTGGCCTCTCACCAACGTGGCCCGGGTTGAAATCCCCGCGTCGACGCCATATGTGGGTTGAGTTTGTTGTTGGTTCTCTTCTCCGAGAGGTTTTTCCAGGTACTCTGGTTTTCGGACCCTCTCCTCAAAAACCAACAGTTCTAAATTCCAATTCGATCTGGAACGCACCTACGCGTTTAAACGAGTTTCTTAAGAACTCCTAAGTGCTTCGTGGGTAAATGAATTACAAAACTAGGACAATACAAAAAAGGCGCGCGCGAGAGAAGTTAGAGTGGGGACCTGCACTCTTGATAAATCCTTGATTGATCTGTTGAAATATTTGAAAGATTAAGATGGCTACCAATTTACCATCTTCTTTGTCTGCTGAAATAATGTATGATTTTCAAAACTGTAAAGTTGCAAATGTCCGAACCTCAAACGCGTTTTTAAGACGTATTAATAGTTATTACTTGAATTTTATCCACTTGAAAAAAATGTAAGAGAATGAGTTTGAAATGAAATTTGAAAATTTGATACAGCATATACACCGCATTTTCTCGGATAATTTTCTCTGTTATTTTTGAGAGCATCCAATCATGAACTTGTTGACAAAAAAGAATTAAACTGAATTTACATTTAGCTTTCAAATCTTAATTCGAATTTCGCACTAACCCTGGGTTATGTTAACCCAGCTTTTAACAGCCCAGCCCTGAATAAAATACGTATAACATTTACTGTTTTTTGATTTTATTTAACCTTCAAAACGTCACAATCAATCGAATTCGTTTCAAAACATTTGGGTTTGGGGGTAGGGGCGTGCTTATATCAAGGTAGTGCATTTTATCGGATATATTTTTTTGTTCACAGGTAGATGGGCCTATAACGGAGGGAAGGGATGGGGAGGCTTATAAGTAAGGGAACTTATAAGCAGGGGGCGGTTTACGGTATAGGGATTATGGGTAGAAATTAAACTTTGCACTTAAGTCCCCGAAAAAATCTTTAAAATGTAAAATTTATTGCTATGCTGCACCTCTATAGCACTCGCGGGATACTAAAATATGGGCGAAAATAATTTCCGCGTATGCGAAGAAGTGCAGCAGATGCAGGTTTTCGACACTGAGGGGAGGAGGGAGGGGCAAAAAAAGAAAGTGTGAATAGACCTCTTGGGGCATGGACGCATACGAGAGCGATCTGAAGACGGCATGACATACAAATAGTAAGCTCAATACCCGGGGGTGATACCAAGGTCCCTAGACGCAAAAAGTAGGTATTTACGCAGCGCGCAAGCGTATCCTTGAAAGTAGTGACATACATTTTTACCTCTTACAGATCTAAAAAGAAGACGTCAACTTTCACAATGAAGAGAGCACTAATTACCGTTTTAGTGACTTTCATGATCGCTGGTCTTTTTTTCGATCACTGTGACGCAATACTTCGGGCCGGGAGAGACCGGATCGAAAAGTTTCATCGTGCCATGGAAGAACGACGCCAGGTTCCTACTGCCGTTGACTGTTCAGGTCCAGACTGCTATTACAAAGGTACAGATAGTTATAGATTAGCAAACGCATTGGAAATATTCGCCATTTTGAGGTAATGCGCAGGAAACTGGATCCAATTGCGTCCCCATAAAGAGTACCATGATGAATTCGACACAAGACAGACCTAGTCTCCTGCGCGACCTCAAAATTCATCAATTTCATATGGACCAGAATGCACCTTGTTTATCTTTCCAATTTCTCCTGAGTATCACAGTCATCCCAAGAGAAATCAAAGACAGTGGTTATTCAATTTTTCTTTTTTTGGCTGGGGGCAACAAGGTGCGTTGGCTATACGAGGGAGGCTGGGCAAAGAGAGGAAAGAGGGAGGGGGCGTGCGCGCTAGTGTTTATTATTTTGCAAATTCGCCCCCTCACGCAAGCTTCTGTACCGCCTTAGTGGTACATTCACGCACGCTACTCGCCCCCTTCCACTCAGCATCAAGGAGAATATTAAGGCCATACATTTCGGAGTATCCATGGCTTATAAACACGATAGAAAGAAAAATCCAGATAGCTGAGGTGATAGATCACGACAATGAAGCAGGGAGAGATTACTGAAAAATCTAGCAGAAAAAATATCATTTTGACTTCTAATTAGACACCATAACGATGAGGCAGTTATACTAATAGTATCAGAAAAACCTTTTTTCGCATCAATAGAATTAGCATCGGTAATAGCATGATTTGTAGTGATATTTGGCATAAATACCACGAGTGATATTTCGAAATTGTTACAGGTAATTTGAGACAATTTTGAAATTTCACAAGTAGTATTTATGCCAAATATCACGTACAAATCATGCTATTATTTGTTTATACTAATACCCACAAAAGGTTTGTAATTTTCACATTTAGTTATTTCAAATTGAGCTGAAATACCACTGCTCTAAGCCAATCAAATTGCAGAATTTCTCATGAAGTAGTATAACAAAAGTAATGGCGGAGGTTTGTTATTTAAGGCTATATTTAGGCATCGAATCTGTGTCATGTTGTCTGTTCCAGCGGATGATAAGGATGGAAATGGATTAAAACTTGAAAAGGCTGGGCCAACTTTTTCATGTTTTAATGCTATGCCTGTATAAATCACCAGAAAAATTATCATGGCTAGTTCTCCCTGATAAAATTTGTTCGTTGACTCTTTTGCAACTCTACAGGAGCATTTTCTGAATGGCATGGGTAAAGGCACTAAGAAATGACTTTAACCCATTTGGTCCCGAGAGGGACCAACGTACATTTTCTCCCAACAACATCAGCAGATCATCAAGAGTATAGGTTATGAGAATTATTAGATTGATTACTAAAGGGAGAATGCTTTAATCTTAAACCAAATTCTCTCAACTATTTTAAAACGAAATGTACGGTGATCATTCTGGAGAATTTGTATGTGGATCTTTGGGCTTAAAGGGTTAACACAGAAGTGATCTAAAACAGCAATATCCTTGATAGCCCCTTAAAGGGACAGGTTCACGGTTCAGCGCATACTCATAAATTATATTACGTTTTTCCAAGTTATTATTAATTTTATCGGTTATTTACCCCACTCACATGTATCTCAGCGATCTCAGAATGTATTCCAAAGTAGAAGTGTACTTCAGAGTAACATGAAAAGGGATGGAGGAGTACTAAAATCGCAGGAAAATTAGTGGATTATGCCAATACTACCAACGTTGAATTTATTGTTGACCCGAGGGTTTATTCCATGGTTGATTAATTTATAGCTATTTGCACCTAAGCTGATCAAGTGACTTGCAGGGGAGCGTGCAGATTGGTTCTTTGACAACATTATGACATGATGATATTGCTTTCATAGAAGATACAGCATGTCCCGGCAGAAAAATAGCATTTTGATTAACGAGCATGCGCTGAACCGTGAACCTGTCTCTTTAACGTAACAATGATTCGTCTTCATTGCAGTTTACATAAAGAAGAGGAGGGAGGAGTGATGCAAGCGATGGAAGTACATTAAAAAGAAAGATGAATGATAGGTTAAAACGTTCTCAAGTTGTCAAGTTATGTTATCAGTAGATTTCAAACACGAAGAAGAATAAAATTTAAAGTTTAATAAAAAATAAACTTTCTTTTTACAAAACGATGACTCGTTTATAGTTTCATTGTGAGGGGTGCATTTTCAGATTTTAAATTACCTTTTCAGTTGCAAATGTTTTTCAATTTTTTCAACTGCTAAGGAAGACGATGAACTACATAATATCTTTACTCTCTAGGGGATACCTCAGTAAGTGATAGCTAGTGCGTATATGCGATGTATCTTTGTCGGTTTCCCTATAGTAAATGAGAGCACTTGTAAGTCACTTAGGAATGGCTTAAAATTAAAAAAAACAAAAACAAACACCCAAAAACGATGATTTATTTACAGTTTAAGTGTGGGAAGTGTATGTCAGATTTTGCTCTCACATTTAAGTAAAGTACATGTCTTAGGTGACTTTTATTAAAATAAAATCAACGCATTTTTATCTTCTTGCATTATCAAATGTCCAAAAAGCTTCTATTGCTTTATTTCAGAACGGCTGACTAAAAAAGGCAAAGAAAGGTGACAACAACAAAAAATAACGACAAATAAATGGCAAACACGAACGGCGGCTCGTGAAAACAGCGAGATCAGTTGCCAGATCATTAACCAAATTAAAGAAAACCAGCAAATTTATTTTTAAAGAGAATAAGTTTTCTCGGTTAAGGACAGTGATTTATTGAAAAAAGTAAAATGTAATTAGCTAATTGTATCAGGAAGAACGAAATTCTGATATGAAATTTATAACGGAAAAATGAAAAATTAACGTCTTCTTTGCTTTTGTAACAATGTCACTGCAAATTTAATCTTGTTGCGACAAGACGGAAACTGGGCCAGTCTCAATTATTTACACGTGTAGTCGGTGAAGTATCTATAACCTCACAATAAAAGAGACGAGCATTTAGTTCATGGAGACTCCGCAGTAACTATTAGTTTATAAAAATTCGCAAGATTTATTTTTTTTTGTCTCCTCTAGCACCGAAATACAGACGCTCGCTATGGAGATGATTTAATTAAATTTATGATATGTTTTAGCCCCGGATAATGTATTGCAGCTAGTATGTCACCATTCCTTTTGATTCGGGCCTCATTAATTGCTCTTTAATTTGAAGTTAACAGTTTTAGTAAGCCAATATCTCTGCTCTAGACTATTAGCAAGATGAACCACAGATAGAAAGCGAATATTAACTGTTCACTGAATAAGCAGTCAAAATAGGAACGCGCTTTAGAATCGAATTGAAATAAGGTAAGACTGGCAGCTTTTCACAAATTCGTGACTTCTTACTTACAGCTCATCACGCGTTGGAAAACGCATTGAAGGTTTCCTAACACATTATCTGTAAAAACAAATCTGTGTTGTAGTGGAAAACTATCGAGGCTTCTGTGGGTGTCTGCCTAATATATTTAGTACGTATTCTCACTATAAATATACCATTTCAATTGCCAATCTTTTCAACTTTTCCAAAGCCGAAGGCAGTAGGACACGAGGAACTACATATTTCTTTACTCCCTAGGGGATAATTCAAGTAAGTGATAGCAACTGCGTATTTGCAACGGACGTTTGTCATTATCTCTACTTACTTAGATACAGAACTTGAAAGTAACATAGGAATCGCTTCTGACGCATTTAATATAACGCAATCTGACTAAACAAAATAATACTAAGACAGTTAGGATACATTCCATGAAATGTTTATAAAATAGAAAGCGCCGCAAACGAAACAAACGCTTGCCGGTTTGGTAAAAGAAAAGATTTATGACGCATTTTGATAACAGCACTTTTCGCCTTCGGTGAACAATGTATCTATCAAAATTCACCGGACATGAATCAAAGCAAAACAAAACTGGGTGAGAATACCTAACCATTTCAGATGTTAGTTGAGGAGAACGGTAGATTTTATCGTCACAATTTTTTCTTTTGCCTTTCCGCTGAACGGAAAGATTTAATTATTACCTATAATTTTTCTTAAATGTAGCAAGTAATATTTAAAAGTTGTCTGATACCTAAACGTAAAAGTGCCGCAAAGTCGAATCTTGAGCGCAAATCGTCGTACTGAAAATGTACTAAAAATCATTCTTCTCAGGAAATGTCCAAAAACATTCAAATCTCTTCAGTTCTCATGTTCAAAGGGGCTACACTAGGTATTTCAAACCAGAGGAAAAATGTCTTTGAACAGGGTCATAATTTTGTCACAGAAAACGACGTTTACAAAGCACCATGGAACACAATTGAAATCAACCAATCACCTTAAATTTACCGAAATACATTGAACAATTGTCTCTCGGCGTTTACGCTTCTCCGTTGTTTAGTAATGTCATATCTTTAAAATATATCATAGTTACTGTAATAATTGATTTCCTTCATTAGCTTTATAATAGCTCTACTTGATTTATGGCCTCCGTGGTAGACCAGCAAATATTGGCTAATGATTTGAAACAAACTGATACAAACAACGAAAGTAACCCTTTATCGAAAGAGTTATTTGTGAGTTAACAAAGAATATTTTCAAACCTATTAGCCTAAAAGATAAATGAGTATTTTCCCGAGTTTCTGTTATCTTTAAAAGAAATTGTCCGTCAGGAAGCTAATATCCTTTCACATACATAAAAAGATGAACCATACAGATATAACTAAACAAAGTCGATTACAAATATTTCACTCAACATTTTTCGTCAGTGCAGGCTGCTACACACTAATAAGAGGACGTCAACTACATTTGACTTAGGTAAGTTTGTTTTTCACAACTTGTGGCGGGTTTCCTTGGATTTCAAGCGCAGATAGAATAGAAAAGACAGTCTTGAAGCTGTTTCTCCAAATCAAATCAACAGAAACTAATTAAAAACGTTAATGAATCAAACGGTTAATTTTCAGACCGATCCTTTATCCCAATAGCTCAACAACAGAACAGTTTTGGGGGAGTAAACAATCCCTTTGGGAATCAAACCCGTATTGGACCTTTTCTCAGACATAAAACGACAGTCTTTTTATTGCGAGACATTTGACTGAAATTAAGAAGTTTGAATTTAAGTTGTAATCCCCCAAAAGAAATTCCACTAGAGGGTTTTGTGCATCTCGGTTTTGCTGCTGTTTTAGCTTGCATTTCTTCGTATGTAGCTTTCGACCGCTTTTGATTATATAAAGCCAAATTAAGGTAAAAGGGATAAGTAAAGTAATTTGGTAAAAATATACAGTTATGTAGTTGAAAAAAGAAATGAAACTAACAAGGGAAAAGCCTTAAATTGTTAAAGCATATCTAACATTCGAAAGAACTGCTCTTTCCCATTTTCAATAAAAAAAAACCATTCCTAAGAAGCTTTCACAAGTAAACACTGCTTTCCAATTTAAACTTAATAACTTCATCTACACGTAGAAAAGAAGGTCACTCTTGTACCGACCGTAAACGTTCATTCCTTAAACCGCATTAAAAATTACCATATAAACAGCTTTATTATATTACTTCACTTATTTACGATCTATTGGAATATTCTAATAATATTTTTTAAAAAATGATACTCGCGAAAAAGAGCTTCCAAATTTGGGCTTACATGTAATCAAGTACGCACAAAAATGCATGTATGACGTAAAAAAAGCCTCGAGGCTCAATCTTTCCCTTGGGGCCTGTCATACTTTGTTTAACGTGAATTAGGCTATCCTACTGGAATTAGTAGAATCTAACGTAAAGTTTTCCATCAGATGTAAAATCGCGTTGCAAGGCCTGCCTTTGAAAATGCAAAATGACGGTTCAACAATGAATATCTCAATTTTCTTTATCCACTTTAGCCAGAACAATCATTTGACCGCCATGAACAAGCTATTGGTTATAACACTGGTAATTTCACTGCTCGCTGGAACATTCATCCATTCGGGAGAAGCGCTTATCCGTGCAGGAAGAAATATGGTTCCTTATCCGCTCGATGGAAGAGACACTGACAATATGTACCACTTATACAATCGAGAAGAAAGTCCTCGATATTTCAAAAGAGGTAAATGAAGGACAGTTCATTCTCTATGGTTAGCGATCATGGGGAGATACCCTTCTGATTATTAAACAAATACTTCCTGCATTTTACCTATTTCATTACCATATTAGTTAAAGCAGACTGTCACTACAGTCAGTAAGCCATTCACTTCCATCCAATAAATCAATCAATCAATCAATCAATCAATCAATCAACCAATCAACTATTCTTACATTTTTGTAGCATTTTAGACACATTGGGAGCCCTTAGACATGATGGGAAGAGGAAAGGCGCAGAACTGGGTTTAAGACATTTTAGTTGATACTATATTTTCTCTTCACCTGTTGTACGTAGAAACAATGGAAACAAGTTCATTCGTGCCTTCCTTCATTCATCCAGTCAATCAATCAATCAATCAATCAATCAATCAATCAATCATTTTTACAGCTTTTTCATTCATTTTTCCATAGCTCACACCTCAGGGGCCCTTTGACATAATTTAATTAAGGGTTGAATGTTTTATTAATATCTTATTTTCTCTTGATCTATTTCAGATAGAACGGAAAGGCGAGGAATTAAAGCATAAGCGCTATACTGAGAACCCTCTAAAAATCATTTACAAAGAGAAGAAAAGAATAGGAAATTAACCAGAAAGCATTTAATGCTTAGATGAAGTAGTTATTTATAATTATTCATGTATTTGATGACGATAAAGCCAGAAATAAATTGAGTTGATGTTATCATACCAAGCACTAACGAAAATAAAACATTTGACGCGTGAGCTTAATTATATTGATTTGTTTTTACTTGTAATTTTTGGTCTTCTTCGTTATAATCCAAATGTACCTCCCTGATCAAGACGCCCAGATCAAAGAGATCGACTGGAGTGTTGGTTGCTTGTCACTGTGGCAATTCAATGCACCATTCTATGGTTGCGCGCGCCTGAATGCGAGGCCCGGGTGACCTTGCTTTAGCTTTGCTTTAATACAAACCCCTTTGCTTTGCTTTGCTTACGGAAATTAATGTTGTTTAAAAAAATTACTGCCAGCAATTAATAACAGAACGTAACATAACATAATAAACCAGGAAGGGTAGATGAAAAAAAGGTCAATACCAGTCTCGCTTCCAACAACAACTGTAAAATTGGCTGCTGAATGTTAAGTGAAGACGCGTTAGTTAACAACGTTTATTCTAAATAAAATGTGATTTTCAGCAAAGCTGGGCCAAACATTTGGCCAATGACTACACTAAATTACCACGTTATACGCACAGAATACTCTTCCGTAAAGATGGCAAATTTGGATGTCGGCAGGGTGGTGATTTCTCCAGAGATCATGTTGTCGCCGTAATGGTGAAATCAAGAGAATAAGTTAAATTTCTCTTTTTTTAACAAAAAAAAAAGAGAGAAATTTAAATTTTTATCGCTTATGCAGCCATTTCCAGAAAGGTTGTCGAAAAAAAAAAGTGTGCACGCGACATTCCCGAAAGGTAATATGGGATATGATTAACTCACCCTGTTCCTAACGACTGTAGCTGTCGAACCTACTTTTGTTGCTTTCCTTATGCACTCGCAAACATATGTCCGTGGCCTCCGTGCCCTTCTTTCAAATTTCTTTGAAGAGCAGAACACTCAAAACCACCCACAATACCTTTCGGGATTGTCGCGTGCACATTTTCCGACCTTTCTCGAATAGCTGTATACTTAGGTGTAATATACTAATGCTGATAGGAGGCGGAAATCAAAATACAACGCCTCACGCGCCATTGCTTCGGTATAATATAAATTGTTAAATAACCCTTTCACTGCCAAATGTGGCCAAAAGGCAAATTTCGACCAAATTTCCACATTTCACTTTGTGAAATTTTGACAAACAAATAGCATCGTGTGAAAGTACAGACAGAGAGCTTTCATTTGAATGGTCACATCGCAGGATTTCGTCCAAATACTCAAAAGTTAGAGTCACCTTACAGACCTCCGTCAAACACTCAGGCAGTGAAAGGGATAAAATACACGATTTATGATTGGCCAGAATGCATGAAATTGACAAAAGGTTCAAATACACAAGAACACAAAAGAAGGAAAAAGAAAAGTTGAATCGGGCTTTAGATGGAAACGATTAAGGTTCTTTCATTCCTTTATTTATTCAGGGAAACTTATCAAAATACAACCGTCGACGAATTTTCGTGTTAACTTTAATGAAATTTTTATCTCGCTTAGCCTTTTGGTGTGCGAATGTTATTTAAAAACACTTCTAATAGCCGTTAAATTGTTGAGTTTGTATCAAACAATTAATGACTGGTTCCGAGGGAAACAGTTAATTTTGTTTCCCTCGGATCTCAGTGTTTCCCGAGGCCCCGAGTGGCCAGTCTTTAAGTGATTTGTTATGTAGCTGGAAATTCATTAAACCTCACTGTAACGGCGGTCGTCGGTCAACATTCGCGGGCAACAGTGCACTGTTACCCTCTGACGTCACAGATCTAGCAATGTGCCCCGCGCAGAGATTTTGGCGGGAAACAGTTTCATTGTTAGATGTTATGTGACCTTGAAGTAACCAATGAGAGCGCGCGCTCTTGGGAAAAAATTTCCAGCTATATACCGTGAAAATTCGGAAAATAAGCCCCTCCATGTATAAGCCCCTTCAAATATAAGCCCCCCAAACTCGTAACGCAAAAAAACCTCTGTTAAATCGCCCCTCCAAGCCCCAGGGGCTTGTACTTGGAAATTGCCCTCAAACACAAAGTAAAGCAGAGTAAAAACGGTAAATTTCCTTCCAACTGAAAGGCTAGCCCAATCGATTTTGAAACGCAAATTTCCCTCCATAGATAAGCCCCTCCGAATATAGGCCCCTCAAAAAATAAGCCCCTCAAAAAGGGCCTTTGAAAAATATAAGCCCCTGGGCTTATTTTCGGAATTTTACGGTAACATAAAAGGTTGATATCATGAATGATATTAATCATCGTGGATAATGCGTATAAAAGGTTTAGTTTATCGTTTGTCTCACGATTGTCACTTTGATATTGATCGTGACGTTTCGACCGCACACTGCAGGTCTTAATCAGGCGATAACGTCGATTTGCTGAGTCGGACTATTTGTACCACCATGGTTGCCCAATAAGACCGGGCATTATCCGCTCTGGGGCGAAGTTAAGATTATTGACTGAGACCCTCACTGCTACTCTAGTAGAGTTAAAGAGGCTATTCACATAAGACTTCACCGTAACAACATCAACAGGGAGAGTGAAATTGAGATTCCTGAAGCATGGATGCCTACAATCAAACGACATAACAGCCGATCGCTACCACAACGGATTGCTGAGGGATCAGTTTTCTCCTCTGATACTACCAACAATGCTTTGGACCGAAACCCGCCACCCATGAGCGAGGTTCGTGATTCACCAATCACAAACAACCACGGTGGTACAAATAGTCCGACTCAGCACATTGACACTATCACCTGATGAAGACCTGCAGTGAGTGGTCAAAATGTCGCGATCAAAATCAAAGTGACAATCGTGAAGACAAACGATAAACTAAACCCAGTTACATTGTTGTTGTTACATTGCTAAGACCTTTGACGCCAGCCAAGATGGCCGCCTAGTTGACCGCCATCTTGGATTTTTCTGAGAATTCCATCAGTTTGAAGAGCGTATTTTTTTTTCAGGAATTTTTTCAAGTCCAGTTAAAGTTGACTAAATATTCTCATTGATTTCCATCCCATTTAAAAAATTTTCTACATGATTACGTAAAACATGGCGTTTCCAAGATGGCGTCCACTTGGAATTAGATAACGTCCCATAACTACATGAAATACCTGCGCTTAGACATTTCCTGACGTGTTATATCCACGAGATTTTACTGTCATAGCTTATGGCTAGGGGCAGGTGGAATGAAACACCAGTCTTACCCTTCCCCCAGGCAAAACGAGCCTAAAAGCAACAAAATTGTCCGGAGTCTAATTTCGCAAATTCTGGAAAGCAAAATGATCAATAATTGAAGAAAAACGAAGATATTCAAGATAATGCGCGTTCATCTAAATTTACTTTCCCGACAGGTACTGTTGATTGTATTTACAGGACGGTTTTATAAAAGTTCACTGTTTAAAGATTTCATCATTTCGCTTTTAAAAAGGTGACCTTCGAGCAGTGAATGTCTGTCGGTACACTAAATATTATTTGTGAATCCCGAAAAGCGAGAAACCCTAAGAATCCTTCTGAACTGCAAGTTGTAAAAAGAGAAGATGGGTAAACCAGAAATCACAGAATATGTCAGTTTTGAATGGATTGGACTCACGACCTGTGAATTGGAGATCTTAATTAGATCCTACGCAGCGTATAAGCTAGAGCAAAACCAGTCAAAGTAAAAGCGACTAAGTATGGTACTTCCTCGTGATGTAATTTACCACGCTTTCATTGTAATTCGCACTTTGAAACCGAAGAGAGGAAATTCTAAATGTAACTGCTTGACCAATAGCTACTGAGTTCTTATTATGGTATACAAATTGTTTCGAACTTTAATTTTGTATTGGTGAATGAGTAACCATTTAAGACAAAGCGACCGATAAATTTAAAGTACTTTCCTGTGGTACTTTTGATGAAATTAGTTCTATTGTAAGTAGTTTTTCTTATACAAATGAAATCTTAAACTGATATCGCCTAGATCTCTTGACCAAAGTAAAAATTCAGAACGGCTGCTGACACATTTTGCTGTTCCAATCCTGAGAATTAACGGGCTTTTAAGCGAGAAAGACGGTTATCTTAGCCTTGAGAAGACAAACAGCACGTCTTTAATTCTTCACGCAGCTTTTCGTCGACGCTATTCGCTAAACAGGTTCCGCGTCACGCATGACGCACAGCCACACGATTGATGTAACAAATAAAGCTTCCATAATCGCGAAAGCTTCAAAGGATCTGAAAATGAGTCCTTCGTAAAGCCCGATAAAAATCCCGAGAATACGAAATGAACGTCAGAACACGATCGATATTATTAATTACTTTAAAAAAGTCATTCATAAGCGACACTTCAAGTTAATTTCATCTTTTGTGTGAAAATTTGTTTCCTCGAACCTTCGCTAATCTTATCTCTAAGAACACGCTAATGTTTTTTGCAGACCGAAAATTAAGTGGATTAGCTTTACCTTTTTTCATTTTGCAAACGTAGTTTGTTAACGCATATACAAAAAAAGGAACTTAAATAGAGCTTCGAGAGAAGCCGAAACGTTTTTAATTTTTTCTTTCTCCTAATCCCACGCGTTTTATGTTTAATACATCTTAAACCAGAAGTTTTATGTTTTGAAGAATAGTTTCTCCGAAGAACTCTCCGAATCTCACGGAAATCTGGTGATACAGGTATAATCGTCTATTATTTATCGAAAGATCCTTCCTTTTTGAAATCGACATCATCAGGTGGTTTTCCTTTCGTTTAGCTGAAAACCCCTTCTTGATAAACGAAAGTGCTAGACTAGGGTTGTTCTTCGCACTGGACTCGTGGGCACAGAATCCTCGCTTTGGCGGAGTGTAAAATCTACAGATCATCGATAACTAAGTTTCCTCGACTTCAGCTGAAATTAGAAATCTTTTGTATTCTTATCAACCTAGGCAATAATCCTTCACTAATGCATCCGCTTACTTGATTGAAAGTTATGAATTGTATCTGCCTATAAATTATCTAGCTAGGCATCTCACCGACTTAACATAAACGTCCCTGGAAGAAGTCGTAAAAAAGAACAAAAGAAAGAAGATTCAGGTAGGGATTTTTTTCTAGCTGCTAGATATTTTAGTAAATTACTTTAACTTTTTAAACGATGGCGCATTTAAAGTATTCATCCCATGCAGTTAGGATCAGGCGTTGCCTCTGACTCCTTTTCATCCTCAGAATCGTCTGTTTCCAAATCAAAACCATCGTTTTCACCATTATTTAAGCAAGGCAAGTTTTGATATTTAGAATTGGTTTAACGCACAACGTTGAAGCAAGGATAACTGCCAAAATAATTGTTACCATTTGCTATACGCGGTTTTGGGATGATAATGTACAGATATGCCACGTTTTAGCTGGGTTATAGATCACTTTGAAATTGTAAATTCTTCTTGCAAAGCAACGAAGAATAATTCTGAACTGAATCAGTTTAATTTTATGTCCAGTCAAATTGTTCCATCTCACTACATGTTAATTTATCTACTTTCTCAAGACCGTAATTTTAAAAGATGACACAAGAACTAAATAATCTTTGTTAATTATCTGTTTTAATAACCGACGCTAGGTCGGTAATTATTGATTGACGTTTGCTTTCGAAGATCTCTTTCACCCCTAAAGCGAATTATTACTTGCTCCAATTAGAAAGGAAAAACTTGTACTAGAGCAAAACTTCATCGAATTGTAGAATGCACCGCTAATTAAATCTCTCTCTTTTAATTGAACAGAACTTGAAAAAAAGAATCTACGATTAAACTTGACGCTAAAGTGCAGACGGATAGTAATTTTAATGAGCACGGATACTTATTATTCTCAGAGTAGTATATAAATTGCATTTGACACAAATGAGTCCGTTTAAATAGAAAAGACCAGTGGTGAAGTATATGTCAACTTTAAGGTAAAGGTTACTATGTCTGTTATTTCGCTAGAAACGTGTTAGTAACACTGGAAGATGGTAGGACCTCGAAGGACCAGTAGTCTTTTTTGTAGTTGGTTTCTTTTCCTTTGTTCTTCATTTATTTATAGATTTGTTTACTAAACAAGAAGAAAACTGAAAGAAATCTGAAAAGCCTTAAAAGATTAGACTACTTGAGAAGCTCCTAAATGTAGTCAAAACTGAGAAGACGAATTCTCGAAAATTAACATACTTTAAGTCGGAAAAAAGAAAGAAAGCAAAAGGGAAAGAAGAAAAAGAAAAAGCAAAAATAAGAAAGCAAAAATCATTTCACAGTTTAAGAAAAAGCGACGAGGAGAAAAGGGAAGACAGCGGTTTTTAATCCACAACCACCATGCACAGCATGCATATTTTTGGAAGACAAAGAACAAAGATGGATACGGCAACTAAAACTTTTAAAAAGCTTGGGGTTAAATAAGCAAAACAACCATTTTCTATGCGCAGCACTCTTTTTCTTGGCGCCAGATTTATTTCCGTTTTTCTATTTCTTTAATAATAATAATAATAATTATAATATTTTTTAATTTTGAGGACGTAAACGAAATGAAGACGATTTTTCTTGCTCTTTCTGATTTAGATGCGTTAGCTAAGATTTCAAATCCAGGACAAATAGTGCGAGTTGGCTGCAAAACTAGAGATTAAGTTTAAAGGAACAGTATCGTGCTCCGTAAGAGACGTTTACGCTACCGTTGCTGTGGAGGTTGTTACCCTCTCTAACCAGACCTGGGTATCGTTAAAGGCACCGGAAAGTACCGGAAAGTAGTAGTTAGATGTAACAACCAGTTGTATTCTAGACTGTTGAGATTCTCTACAGTTATTAAAGGAGCTGTGTCACAGTTGTCCAGTTCATTTTGTTAATTATGCCAATTGCGCATAATTATGCATTTTTTTAAATTATGCCACTTGAGCGTCCTTGTTCGCTAAACTTCGCGGGACTTGAAAAATTACTTGTAATTGGGAAAATCAGTTTCGTGTCAAGCAAATATGTCGCCCAAGCAGTACATCGTTACAAACGACAAAAATGAACTTTGAAAACCTCTTAGGCTAACAAGGTTTCAAAACCACCATTGCGATCCTTTTCAGTCTTCTTTAAGTTTTTCCATCCGTGCTTCCTTTTGTATTTGCTGTGTTACTTGCGTATACCAGTTCGTTTCATTTTTTGAGAAGTTGAGAATTTGTATTTTATTTGCTACACATAACACGATTACATTTATAAAAAGATACAAAAAAATGTAGGAAGAAATGGCAGGGATGCCTAAAAGAAACTATAAGCGGCTTGTGTTAATTAGGCCTCCTCAATTACAATTTTTCAAAGATGGCATAAAAACTACGGAGACGGAAACGGCCGCCATAAATATGCAAGTTATTTTTGTTTCAATCTGTGCATGTTTGGTGGCGGTTCCTGTTTGAATTTTGATAAAATTCGTGACACGGCTCCTTTAAACAGCCAACATCCGACGGCCATTTTCATTTTCAGTCATTGAATATCCTTTTTGTATCTTTAAACAGGTGCACAGAAGTCATCAATCATGAAAGCCCTAGTATCTGCCCTCGTTATTCTAATTGTAATGGCTGCCGTTGTAGAAAAAAGTGAATCATTTATTCGGGCTGGACGAGGAATGATTTATAATCAGGGAATGCAATTGCCTCAACATGTTGATCTTCCTGAAAATTATGAAGAATATTTCTCCAAATACATCGATGCCAAGCGCGCAGAACAAATGAGCGCAAACAGAGGTTAGTTCAATAATTTAACTGTCATGCAGATCAAAAATATTAAGATCTACCTTCTTGAAATGGTTTTAGAATTAATTTCCAGTTTTATTGATCGACACTATTACTACGGTGCGTTTCTATTGGGCGCAGCAATGATGGTATCAAACAACTGCCCACTGAGAAGTGCGCAGGTTGTAGTAGTTTTTTGACCTCTTCCTGGATATTACCATAGCAACAACTGACAACAGTCTTAGTTTAAGCTTTTACCACTTATGAATTTAAAAAGAGTTAGTGACCCTCACTGTGCATTGAATTAAGCCGGTCAATGTTATTTTTTCCAAAGTTAAAAAATTGTACGTGTCAAAATGTCCCAGAGCCCCCTTAAATTTTCCACTGCTCGATGTGGCACTAAAGCCGCTGTTTAATTCTCTTATATACTTTGTGAAAAGTTAACAGAGGGCTTGATGATGCACCTCAATGATAATCAGCTTGATATTGACTTGTCTTCGCTACTAAAATATAATATTAAGGGAGTTTTAAACAGCCTATAAGTTATACACGTTGCTATGGTATTTTGAAATGCTAATGCTAATGTCGTTCTGTCACGCATTTGTATGATATCATCTAGTATAATATTACATACATGATACAGGATCTGAGGCACGATTCACGATCCATATTTAATACAAACGTATCCTAGGAATCGCCTTATAAACAATATAATCGCTTCTTAAGGTGGCCCGAACTTATTTATATGCGTGATGGTTAAGGTTTTGATTCATGTTTTTCAGCAGGAAGGATTTAACCGATTTCTATGATTTTTGGTATCCTTAACAAAGAGTGGTCGAACTTTAAGATAATATTATTTGTAGGAATAAAAACTTCTGAGATATCGGCAAATATTCAAAACCGCATTGCTCTTCCACTATTTGTGCGTCAACTTTAACAAATGTGTCAGCGTAGCATTTGAAGGTTAAATTTGACCAGCATTTTGTGCAGCGAGTTGGATGGTCAAAGGGGCGGATCCAGGATTTTTCTTAGCAGGGGGTGCACCACTAACTGACTGATGACGTAAAAACTTTTAAAAGAGAATACGAAGAAGAGGGCTTTTGACTGGGAAATAACATAATGTGAACTGCTGAGAATACATATCAAACGATAGAGCAGATTTTGTATGTCTGTCAAGCGACTGCACAGTGTTAATTAGAAAGCGGCCACAGGTCATCCCAGGGGGGGTGCGCACCCCCTGCACCCTCCCCCTGGATCCGCCCCTGGGTCACGATTAACTTCAAACTTGCAGATATAAAACTAGGGAGCTCAGAGACTTATTTGCTGAAGTTAGGGAAAAATCTGTCGAAGGACTTCAAAGTTTTTTACACTTTTGCAAAAATGCGGTTTTAAACATATGCCGATATCTCTGACGTTGTTAGACCTACAAGATATTTTTGGACTTTAAATGAAGAAAAGATCATCTTCGCAGTAAAAGACGCAACTTAAGCAAGACCAGCAGCGATTCAAACTCTGACAAACCCCTGGTGCAGCGCTCTCACCAACTGAGCTTATAGCAAGCCAACTGGGAGCTCGTCATTAAATTGGTTCGTAATATACGAGGGGAATTGATGACGACGAATAAAAAATAAATTCATACATTCATCATTTAACAATTACTTCTTTTTTCAGATAAAGTCATGATGCAAAGAAGAAATGGAAAAAGCCGAACATGATCAAGCCACTGAACTCAAATATCTCATTCAGACACATCTTGAAAAATGTGGCTTTTGAATGAAAGCTTCTCCGACGAAAATGGACTACATAAATTGCCATGTATTTTTCAGAAAAAAAAGATAAAATAAAACAGTGAGTTATTCACTTTCGCCCCCTCAATTAAATGTTTTACGCATCGACATGTTAAATACTTGTGGAATCATTGTGTGATCGTTGTACCGCGACGACGCGACGGTATTTTTAGTTAAAAAGAATGATTTGTGGGGGACAAAGAAATGCTATTTTAAGGCACGCCCATAAAAAAAAGCGCTTCGACAAAAAGGCCGTAGATTACCAAACGCAAGGGAGACTCTTCAGAGTCGTATTGACGGGGTGTTCGTATGGCGGGCTTGCCCTGTACACGTATTTTATCCCGTACATCTGTCCCGCCCATTGCTATCTAAGAAGTACTTGGAACAAGACGAAAACAGTTTCATTTCTATGGTAGATATCAGTACAGACCATGGAAAGCTGTTGTCGATAATCTCTTTAACATGCAGAGCTTACTTCAGTCCCATCTCTCTGTTACACTGAGACTCTTCTTTATTTTAAATTTTCTTTTGCTCAAATTGCAATGCACCAGATGCTCCGTAGCTGTACAGCGTTACGATGAATTAAGTCAATAACAAAAACAGTCAGCGAATCACATTAAGCTCAACAAGCTGAATGACCTCTCAATGGAGAATCCGTGCTATTAAATATAAGATCTGTTTTACCAGTGAAGAACTAGTATTTGCTCCTCAGAAAGCCAATTTTGCCCCTAAATTCATTGGGGTTTCATACTATTTCGACGGCCGGCTTTTTTAAACAATTAACAATACAAACATGTTTACTCATTTGCATAAGTCTAAAATTAGAAGGGTTTATTTTCTACGCTTTACTAGACCATTATAATTAGATGACCACCTATTGAATGCTGCTATTTCAAGTTAACAGTATTACAGTCAAAACAAATTTGTCTTTTTCTATGTAAAGTTCTCTTCACCAAAGAAGAGCATTTTGCCCTCAGGCTTTCTGAGTTATTTTTGGAAATAACTGATTGATTCTAAAGTATATTCTCTGGTCCCGTTCAACGCTTTGACAAACTATGCCATGTAAATCGTATTAAATGTATTTATTTGAGTTTTCCAAGTTTGTTTCTATTTCGTGATTGGTAAAAATATTCAATTTTCAAGTCGTTTCAAAACTGCACTAAAATGTAAACGTTGAGAAAGCTATTATAGAAGCTTAATCATAGAGTTTGTTCTTTTATGCCACGTGTCCCACGCAAACATGTCACTTAAGGGTCCTGCTGTACATTTCAGCATGATTTAAAAAGAAAACAATTTATTGCACAAATCCATGTAAGTTTCCTCTTAAAGGAGAAAAAGGTGCGATACACTCTACAAGACTTGAAAAAAAAAAATCCACAGGAATGTCATTTGATTTCATGGTTTAGGTTTTACGAAGTGTTTACACAATATAACTCGAAAGTAAAATAGTTAACAGTGCAATGAATAAAACAGATTCTTTTGTTATAATAATAATAATAATAGACTGAGAACAAATGGACTCTAAAAAGGTTTATTTACACAATTCTTCGCTTAAACAAAGAAGGAAGAAATGAAACAAGCAGACCAGATGTTTTACGAAGCTCACAACAAAAGATGGTATTTACAAAAAGTTATTCGATTACAGCAAGTAAAGTTTGTTGTTTGTCGTACTTAATAAGTATAATTCAGTTTTAAGGGTTAATTATGTCTCTAAAGATAACGCGCGTATATCGAATCTGTATATTTTAAATTCATCGTAACATAGTACAGATTAACAGCATCTGATGTAATACAGTTAAATCGAAATTAAAGTGAAGATGAAAGACACAATACTGCCTTTGAAATCTGGACTAAACAGATGAGAGAAGGGTTTTTTTCCCCCGTAAACTTGAGATTTTTATAGAGTGCCAGACGAAAACAAGACTGTAGAATGGTTTGGTAAAAAAATTCATGCTGCCATAGAGAACTCCATTAGGGAACTGCCAAAAACTACGAGACAAGTTTACGCCAAGCCCACTACATTTAGCGACCTCTCTATTCGCCGTGAAAATGTTTGGAGTTCGCCATTCGCGGACAAAGGTGGAAAGGCACGGCAGATGTTCCGTATTTCAAACATCTATTTTCTGCCGTTTGGGAATTCTACTGTCGGTATAAAAGTTTAGAATCACGTTTACGACAAACGTCACGTTTAAGTTGACAATTTTTCAATGTAGATAAAAGCTGTCCAAAATAATTCTTATGGACGCACGAAACTGGTCATTGAAAGTGAAGGGAAAATTACTTCGTCACGCGAGTGCAAATTGACTGTTACCATTCGATTATTAAGAATCTTTCTTAAATACTGACATATACTTGCAAAGGGAGTTTTGAAGACGTATAGGTAAACCAGTTTTGATTCCCAGAGTAATATATGCAGACATGTTAAAAAAAGGTTTTAAGGTTTGTTTATAGTGGAAAGTGCACTTAGCTTATCCAGCTACTAGTTTAAGAGCACTCCACTCAAATACTTAGAAACAAATAATTCAGGATTAAAAAAACCCCAACTGGCAGGAGGCAACCAGTTAGCTATTGACAAGAATCCACATGTAATCCACTGCTGATTTTTGCGTCTCAGGATGAAATCCTGTGATATCATCGTGATAAATCCACTCCCACTAGTTGTTCAAAATATGGATAACGTTATTCACACCGGATGGTTGGATCAATCTCTATCCACTGGATAGCGCAATTTTTTCCCCTAATACTTACCCACTGGATAGTGATTTATCCCGTGGATAGCCCTGTCCAACGTTTGAACAACCGGGGCCTGATAAATCACTATCCAGTGCATAAGTATTAGGGAAACCAATTGCACTATCCACTGGATAGAGATTTATACTGTGGATAGCGCTATATCCTCCTTTTGAACACCCGGGGCCAGGAGGATACTGAGCAACACGAGCAGCATTTTCTTGTTTATTATGCTGTACAAGATGGTACTAACGTTTGAGTCTGAAGACGAAATTTATTGTGTGACCACTGAAATGAAAGGTTCTGAGTAGCACTTTCCTTTGGTACGGTTTATTATGCTGTGCAAAGTGGTTCTAAATTTGAGTCTGCATGAAATCCTAAAGTGTGACCATTGAAATGAAAGCTCCTGAGTAACTTTCCTGTGGTACTCGTAATTATGCTGTGCAAGGTGGTTCAAACTTTGGAGTCTGTCGATGAGTTCCTATGAAATAACTACGCAAGTGAAACCCTCAATGTTAGCACACTTCCACCGAAACAACCTCAAAAGGAACGGTATCAAGAAAAATCACGTTTCTGGGTAACTGACAACCTACCCCTCCCTTAGGTCACAATTTGGCCTAACTGAGAAATAAGTGTTAATGTTGACTTGGGAGAGGGGTAGGTGGTCAGTTGCCCACAAACCTTACTTTGCTGATTTACGAAATTACGTGTTGCTCTACTTAACAATTGTTAAAAAGGTGAATATTCAAAGCCTTTGGTCATTTGGTCTAAGAAAATAAAATTCTACTAACCCTTCTCCATTCCTATATTTATCATTGTTTTTGCCTCTCGTCGTAGTGAACATAAAATATCAACCAGAAATAAAACGAAAAACACCCAGTACCAATGTAGGCAGATGGAAAGTTTGCGGTATCTTCGGTCCCGGCCGCGGCTATACAACCAGGGCTTGTTTGTTCGGTGATCCTAAATGTGGACATAATTTCAATTTTTACTTATACGATAAGCAATTAAACGAAATTTGCCTCTAGATAGAAAATGAAATCAAAGCACACCGCAAGGGAAAACGATGAATTTTTAAAAATCAGAAGTTTGCAAAAGCGTGATCGTTTAAATATCTTTGTTTTTTTTATTATTATTATTTTATTATTACAATTTTTGGGGGGTTGTTTTCTTTTTTTGTTCTTCATTTCAACAAACTGGTTAATATATGTAGCCTACGGAAATGTTTCCTTTGGAACCTCTTGAAGTTACTGAACAAGTTTTCATTTTTGCCAGTTATTACATGACAATATTTGGCGATGGCAGCTTAACCATTGTTTTTTTAAATTTAAGATTTAATGCCTGGTTTGTCAATTTTGATTGTATTTCTAAATCACTAAACGTGGAGTGAAAACAATTTTCCCCACTGATTGATATGGCTTAATAATGTATACGTGCATCCTCAAAACAGCAGTTAAGAAATGAAAATTTTTATCACCGATAGTTTTTTGCAATCTCCATTTTTCTGGCGAGTTAGTTCTTACTAGCAACCGAATGCTTTCCTGCCATGTCATCCAACTCTAGCTCTAACTCTAAAGGATCAGTTACTACTGGACTCGCGTCAAGTGTTTTTTTCTTTGTGAGTTTGGGTGCCTACTCTTAATGAAAGCTTTCCAAAAACGTACGTAAAGACGAAATCCCAAGCCAGGCGAATTCAAGCGAAGGCTACTGAGCAGTACTTTGCTGAGGTGCTGTTTTTGTGGTTCTAACTGTTGAGTCTGTGGATGAAATCCTTAAGTGTGACCATTCAAATGAAAGCTACTGAGCAGTACTTGCCTACTGCGCTGTTTATTATGCTGAAAAAGACTGTTACAACCTGAGGGTCTTTGGAAGAAATCTGCGTGCATATCATTCCAACTCATTTAAAATTGGACAGTTTTCTCTTATCCCGCGGATCATTATTCCGTTTGAAGAAGTTATAAATTGTAAATTACGTTGCAGATAAAATCTACAGAGAAGCTAGTCAAAGTAAAGGTGATAAAAGTGGATAATACGGAACTATATGCACACAATAGTTTTCTCTACGCTGTGGGAACAAAATCCAAAAATCAAAAAACTACAATCTCAAGGCAGTACAGCTGGACTGAACAAGTGGTGCTTGTAAACATTTGAACATTGGACGTAACATTGTTCTCCTTTCACCCAATTTTCTACAGGTGCATTTTCATTTTAATTGTGCGCATGCCCGGAGACCTTAGATTTCGGCGGTAATGCAGCCAATTGTTCAACTACGTTGTTTGCTTTTGTGACTACGTATGCGTTTGGCGCATCGAAGAAAGGTCTCAGAAAAATCGATTTTTTTTTCACAAAGATAGTGATTTGAAAGCTTAAGGTATTTTTGCAAGCCTCCTGATTTTAAGGGGACACGTTCATCTCAGCGAGAGCTAATGGACGAAGATTTCAGGAATTATAAAGCTGTCATTTTCTCATTTTCATTAACTAGGGTGTGGTCCTGTTTAAAAATTTTTAAAAAATTTTTCCTCTTTCTGCATATTCATTAAAGGGGGTCAAACACTTTGGTATGGACAACATAAATGTACAGGTAGGCCCCTGATGGACTGATTTTGCATCCAGGATTTATAATGTAAGCAAACGAACCTGTGATGGACTAGCGTTCTATGCCCGGGGAGAGGTAGTTATACTTCAAGTTGCTTTATGTTCAGAAAACCTAACAACCTTCACTACCCGTCTTCATCCAATGATGACGGAGGGGGAGGGGTTGGATAGTAATAACCCTCGCTGCTTTGGGTTTGGTGGTCACATGTTTGGTCCGTATGAGCCTCGGTCGACCTCCGTCTTGTGTTTGCATTCTCCAAGTGCTATCTCGTTATAAACAAAATCTCTCACTTGTTTCAGAACATAAAACTGCACTTTCTTAATTAAATCTCACATTCGACGGCTAATTCTGGAAAAGCCAGTCAGATACTAATATATACAGACCTTTAAAATTAATCAACGGTTTTCAGTATACATTTCGGAACCTTTTCTGCCGAGTTAAGGTTTTAACCAAGGGAACACAAACAGTTAAGGCATAATTTATTAACCTCACAATTGTAGACCGAATTTGTAATCGACCGTGTATGTCACGTAGCAGTTCGTAATTTTAACCCTTAACTATTTAAACGAATTTCATATTCTCATAGATTTTCGCCTGTAAAAATTTATACTTTCCAAATAGATTAAAATTAAAAAAATCCTTGGTTTCGTGTTTTCCCAAGCAATGTTTATAATCATTAAACTAGCCAATTTAATGAAAATGAATTTGTAATCGATTATTACTCTGGCAAGTACCCCCTCGACCAAAACAACAGAAAATTCTAAATTTATCCTGAAAATGGTTATGTCTTAGGAGAAAAGTGATGAATAATCTATAAATCTATGCGAAATGGTTAATTTTTGCTATCCATGGAGACTCAGAATTTTAAATCTCGTCAAACGTTTGTAGTTTCACTTCGAGAGCAAAGGCCCTAACAACGAATCACGTTTAATGAGGTAAGCAATCTGTTTGTCTTGTAATACTCCTGAAGTCCTGTGCTGAAGCCTGAGTTTCGCACTCATATGTATTTCAATCGTCGACGAAAACAAAAAAAGAACTGTAACCAGGAGAACTAGGAAATATTTTTTTATCATGCAGATAGTACGTAGTGATAACAGGTAACTAATTTCAGTTTGCAGCCATGATCGAAGGCGATATCACAACTTGATTTGCCTAAGAGTGCGACGTAATAGATAATTCATTTTGAATATTTTGCGTAAATGGAAAGAAACGGGCCGCACGATGATACCGCAACGTGATAGCAATGAACATGTTTATCATTTTACTTTTTCAAGAATGATCTAAGTGTCCATACAAAAATTAAAAAAATTAAAGTCATCCTGCATTACAATATAATCCGTTTTTTAAAGTTAGAGAAATGCACAAAGCACAGTTTTAATTTTCACTTTTAACTGAAATGTGCGTAGACGAGTCGTTAGATAAGTTTATGATAATCTTAGCAAGGCAATGTGATAAACCACGATATTTCTTGGCTTGTCGCTAACGGTAGGGCCATATTGGCGGTTATTAAATGGTTGCCTTTTTCTTCAAGGCTTCGTAATCCCTTAATTCCGAGTCCCCAACTTGAAAATTATTTCTGAGGTTGTAACTCTATGTCAAAATAAAATCCTCAAATATGAGCTAATACAAAAGCAATCTGGAACCTGGAATGAAACAAACTTTGAGATTTAAGGTGAAAAAGAACAGAAAAGATAGAAAAAAAATTGAAAATCAAAATTTCATCTCTATCGATATTAGAAGTAAAAAAGTTTAGGTTAACAAATGAAACAGAACAACGCCAAACAAGGGAGAAGGATCGTCAAATACTTTTACAGTCACTACCCAGATTGTAAGCTGGTAAAAACTTGAAAGCGTAAAAATTTCCTTATCTCCGCAGCAACATTCACTAACACGTCAAAGGGCATCCAATGTTTGCGGTTTATTGAATTTAAATTTTCTCGTCACTTAAACAACTCACACATGTATTTTGTTCGATGCTATCTACTGAGAATAATCTTCCCTTTTCTTACCACGATTTAACATTAAGTAAATTGTTTATGAGAAGGTTTATTAGAAATGAAAATCAACATGACACCTTTTCCAATCTCTTTTTTGCCTTTGCACAAATTCTTGATTTTTTCGGAAACAAAAGGAAAAAACTCTGTCTTAAGGAAAAATACAAAAACTAAAGTTTAACAAGCTGCATCCCGATCTAGATCCTTAGATTGCTCTAAAAGCCGCGGTTTTACACACAATAAATGTTCACAAAGTTTGCTTTTGCCTTTCTTTCTTCTGGAGACGTAACAAAAAAATCTAATTGCCTCATCCATTTCTGTTACATCTGGTTCTTAGTCAAAGTACTGAATCGACTTTTTTCTCTACTAATGTTTTCATTGTACACTGAAAAATTTCTTTCCAAAACAATGGGAGAAGAGAAATGGCCTCACCTCGAAGTCAAAAATTGATAAGCCTAATTCGAATATAACCTTGTTCTCATTAAATTACCCTTAAACTGTAGTTTAATTTTTATAATATATCATCATTTTTTATGTTTTAATTACTCATATTTTCGCCTTACATGTTCCTTCATTACCTCCTCGTTTTTCGCGAAGAAAAAAAAAAACAGAAACATTGGGGGTAAATTGTTATATTTTGTGGAAATAAGGCGTGTTGTAGTTAACTTCAATTGACCATGCTAATCCCCAGTAAAAACGTAGTTTAGACACAATAGCAGCCTGACGAGACTACTTTCTTTGGATTTCCATTGGAAACATCAAAGAGTTCGTCGTCAAAGAGTCAGATATCACGATTTATTTAATGACAAATGGAACTCACAGATATAGTTATCTTATTTATTCACTGGTATTCGGAAGTCTACAAATGTCTACCTGCGGATAAAATTTATTCCACTCCTCGTTTACTTAACATAAGTTGTTTTTAGATGCTTGAGGAACAAAAAAACTAGAAATGGTGACCTTAGTTAGGATCACCTGAGCGCGTTCTAAAGGTAAACACGCTTTTAATACGTTTCTAAAGGTGCCGTATATTTTTCATTTTACGTTTTCGGGGCATATGCGCTAGGTGGTGACGCACAGGCCATCTTGATTCAACGGCCGTGTTTTGTTTGTAATGATTGTAACGCATGTGTTTTAAACGATTGAATTTTCACCAAAGCGAGAAGTTCAATAAATAATTACAGTGATCGAGTTATTTTGTAATAAGGAGCGTTTTGACGCCGCATTACTGAGACATAACTCTCATTTCCAGCGTTTTTCTTATTATATTTTTAATCAAAGACGATGCTAGTGATAAGTAACATTGGAATATGCTGGGTCATGACTGAGGAATTTATCGGAACTGTGAAAAATTGTCCAGTAGTGAAAAGAAGAACAAAAATAATAATAATAATAAGTAACAAACGTGTATATACGCAAAGTGGTGTAAGGATTGAAAATTCAACTTTATTAGCATCCTTAATTTCTGCACGTTTTCAAGGCCATATTATAGATAAGGCATAAACGCATCGAAGCCTCCCACAAGCGGCGGTTTGTAAACGCCAGGGAAACCTTACTAATTATTAAAAATGTTGGATAAGGATCAAAGATCATGAATTTTTTACAAAGTTTGATACCAGAAGGAAGTTTAAACCAAGAGAAATCAAATTTATTCCAACAACATTTTTCAGCGTATTTCTTTAGGAGTGAAAGTTAGGACAAATTCGGAGATGCTTTAAGTAGCCAATTACTTCAGAACTTCTCAACAACCATTACACGTGCAGAAAAAGTCAACAAAAGAGACTTTGCTAATTTTCATTATATCGCTTAACAAAAACAAAACTGACGTTATCGCTGTCGGTCGGGCAAATTTACTCTCCGCCATTAAATTGCTGTCTTTGTTAACATCTGGAGTTACCTCGCATTATTTAAATAAGGCTTTAAAAGGGAAAGCATAATCTTGCCGAGATTAGAATTCGCTAGATTGGCCTTTAAGGTGTGTTAAACGAAGACCTTCAATCTAACACCCAAGCCTAAGTAACAGAGAAGTCAACTAGAACACGCAGAGACATTTTGAAAGGTAAGACGAATAACTGATCATAAAGAATGAATTTCGTTCGAATATGAAATATTTTGAAGGGTTAATTTACTACCTTCCACAAGAAAAAATTCAGCCCTTAAGGCAGTAGATACAAGGTTTTAGCAACCCTGTTTTTGAGCGAAAGAACGAAAGACTACCTTCTTAGTACCAATGTCTAGTAAACATCCGCTGCGAAGTTTATTTAACTGCTTAAATTTATCTTTAAACACCATTAATGAGCTGATTATAGAGATACAACTTACATTTCAGCAATGGGAAATTTAGGATTGCGCTTCCCTTTCAAGTCTTAGCGCACGCCGTGGTGACCAAATCGATGTTGCCTAATACGTTATATCTGATTCGCAGTTTATTTAGCCGATTTAATTTGCGTTATCATCGGGCTAATAGGTTGTAGAACAAAAGTAAAAGAGTAAAAAAAAAAGAGCAAAGAAACTGGCCTGGCACTTGCGAGTATTTACATTAAACACAAAATTGTTGAATATTTGCTTCGCTCGATTGTTTCGTTTAAACAAAGTTATTGAGCTGTATATCCCTTCTTGGTTTGCATCTGAAATAAATGTGAACTTCATTTAGCTTTTGTTTCCACACCTTGCATAAAACACATTGTAAGGCGAAAGGAAAGAAAAAACTGCTTTTTCATGTTCAAAATTAACATTCAATCATCACGACTTTTTCGAAAAAACTGGTATTTTAGTTTCGTTAAAGCGATACTGACCAAAACTAACGAAATACTAAACCCAACAGCTCACATAGAAATCTTTTAAGATTGTCAGCGTGGTTTAATTCATGCCGACACAATTTTAACACCTTTGTCAAAAACTGAGATATCCACAAATACTTAGCCTTTTACAAATTTATTTATTTTATTTTTTTTTTTCGCAAAAAAAGTGAACATTAATATTAAAGTTATAGTTCAGGAAAAGTCGGTGCCGCCGGTTACATTTCCGGCAATTAACATTAGAAACAGTTACTGTTATAAATTGAAATTTTTCCAGTTGTCAGGAAATGTGCCAAACGAATAGTCAGGAGCTAGCCTAACTAACGAAGTCAGAGTTCTGTTCATGAGTGTTTTAAAGAGCGGAAGCTTTTCTGACTGACATTAATAACTTACAATTCTAGTGTTTAGAATACGATAATTTATATTTCGACTGCTTTAACTGTATAGAGCTGATTAAGACTGTGGTTCCGAAAATCCTTGTAGTTAAAAAGTGAATACAAAAAAAGGAAAAGAAAAAGGCACTTTTAAAAATATAATTTATTAAGGCAAAATTTCAACCAAAGTTTCCACTTTTTCAAAAATTTGATTTAGGCTGAGGAGTTTATTTGAGGATCTGAGAGATCTCCAATATTATTGAAATTTGTTAATCCACGAATAAAAATTAAAAGAAATTAATACAGCATAAGTTCTGAGGATGTAATAAAGAATATAGCGGCGAAACCCAAATACTTCGTCGAATGCTACAAGCGGCGTTACAGACAGTTTGAAATTTTGTGAAATTCAAAAATAACATTTGAAAAATATACTGACGACCGTTAAGTCTGCCAGTTCAAGGGATGTTAGCTGGTAAAAAAAAATAATAATAAAGCAGACACAGTTGTCATCGGATTATGTTACATAGCAACAAAATTAAGACAGAAGTGATAACAACAGCTGACATAAAGCGAGGCAATTTCTTCTAGGTTAAGTCACCACGAGTTATTCAGGTGTTCAGATACATGTACATACTGCCATACACGAGAATTTGTATTACGATCGAGGTTCACCAGTGTCGTATATTTTAAGAAAGCATTTTTTTTTGTAACTGAGTTGAATTTTATCTCCCTTAGTAAGCTAAAAGTTAACAAATCCATTGACTGCTCTATTCTTAATTCACAGTTGCCTTTATTGTTATTATAATTAATCCCTTTGGGTTTGTTTAAAGAAAATGACTTCCTATCCGCATATTAACGAATTATGTGCAATTTTAAAATCAGGTATTAAATTTTCATCACCTGCCAAGATCTCTTCGCAGTTTTTTCTTCAAATAACATATTTTCTGCATATGCGACAATAAATAAATAGATGAATGAATAACGGCTAAGTAAATAAATAAATGAATGACTAAAACTGAAAACAGAAAGAAATGTAGGAGCAGTATCAAGGATGAATTAAAAAGCAATTGCTCTTTAAATGATAAATAATGAATATATTTTAATGACTTCCACCTGGTTTAGGCAATGTTTCAATTCAAATGCTATGATAATAATCAAACTATATCTAATAACGCAGAAGTTAGAACTGGGTTCTAACTTTTAAGTCTGTGAGTAAATAAGGTTAAGGTGGCTCGATAGGGTTTTTCAGGGTCAATACCTCCCAAATTTGAGCATAAACTACGTCGCCATTAACAAAGACTAGGAAAAACTACCACCACAGCTGCATTAGATAGAGATCACAATTTGTTATGATCAGGGTGGCTTTGACATCAGAGTTGTCATAGCAACGAAATGACGCCATTACCTATTTTGCTTGCAGCCATATTTATCGGCATTGGGAACTCTTCTTCCAAAATCGTTCACGGGAACTTTTTCTCCAATAGCCACCTCGATGTTTGTGAAGTTTAAGCGAAATATATTACAGGGTTATCAAGATATTTTGGGATGAAGGTTTTATGGTTAGAAATACGGTGAAAAGTGGACAATTTTTATGTTCAGCCGTTATATGTAGAAAGCGAGGCGCGCTTTTGAAATGCAACTTCACCTCATAGTAGTTTCAACCATTTTAAAAACATGTGTGAAAGATCTTTATCTAATACAGCTGGGGTGGTAATTTTTCTACATCTTTGTTAATGGCGACATAGTTTGTGCTCAAACTTGGTATTGACCTTGAAAAACCCTATCGAGCTACTCTGCGAGCTACCCTAACTGAACTTTGCTTTTCTGTGGTACTGTTTAGTTTTCGGTACCAGGTGGTATTCTTGGTTTGCAACCACGTGACATGGCGGCCCTGTTGCTGGTCAATACAATAAAGTTCCCAGCGGAGGGAGATGCTTTTGGTCTTCACTACCAACATGGCCGCCGTGACGTCACGTAAAAACCAGCAATAATTTGGAGTCTGTGAAAGTATTTATTACTGATTTGGGACTATTGTTTGTGTTTCAGCTCCAAGTCAAAGCAAGAATGGAGTACGGAGACTCTTCTGTGTATTTTCCGTTCACATTCACTCAACAAGATATTGATAACGTGCTTTACGGATATATTCGTACTCCAGAAAAGTCCACTAATGGTTTTGCACTCTCTGGCATTTATGTTGCATTGGCAAATGGTAGGTTTGACCACTAGGTATTTAGTGTAGTTTCTCAAATAAGCGCCCACGCCCTAATAGGCCCTTTGGGTCTCAGTTTGGTCCAACAATAAGGGGGGGCGGCCCTCCTGGGCCCCTCCCCTGGATTATTTCAAGTAGGAACAAATAACACAGAAAACCCAGAAAAGCACTGATGGACAAACTTTGAAGAAGTAAGCTTAAAACGGTCATTGCAATTGTGGTTTTTGAAAACTTGATAGCCTAACAGTTTTTCAAAGTTCATTTCTGTCGTTTGTAACGATTGATTTCATGCTCGGGAGACACATTTGTCTGTCGCGAAGCTGTGATTTTGTTATTTACAGGTACTTTCTTCACTAATGTTGAGTTCCAAAGCGAATAAGGAGCCAGGTTTGAAACGTGCGGAAAGAGAGTCTAATAACAACGTTTCCTCCACCGCTAACCGTTATGTTTCCTGCTTTCTCACCGCGCGCTTTGTCGGGTTTTTAGCGTAAAGTTCCCTAAAGTTCCCTTTTCAGCGCTGACTCTCTTTCCAGGTCCGTTCACTGTGCCCGTGATGAGAATGACAGATCTTCTGAGCAGACTATGACTCTTAAATTACTATCAGTCTATGTTACTGTTTATATTAGTGAGCTCACTTGAACTTAATAACAGTGTACCGCAGCTATTTCTCAATTTACTTCTTGTATCGTTGCTAAATGCATGAGTATTTACCACTTGCTTTAATAATGCTACACATTCATATTAAAAAATCTAACGTATTTATGGACATTTTTCCCGCAGCTACATGTAGTTTATACTCAACGAACTAACGTGTGGTCATTGAACTACTGGTGTGGTTATCGAACTAACGAAAAAGCTATGAGGTGACTGATAATTGACCGGTATTTCTATTCTTTATTTAGAACAATGGAATCCATGGCTTCCTAATGTTTTTAAAGCACATCACGAACACACCACAGGTCACCAAATGCCGTACATGGACATGATTCAGGAAGAACGGTGTGTGCAAAACTTACCAGAAAATCTCAAGATCATCGAGACGATCCTGCCTACTGGGAGGCATCGAGGGGTGTTTTGCGGTCAGCGGAGAATAGCAAAAGGAACTCGATATGGGCCTTACACTGGAAACATTGTTCTACCACAGCAAATAGGCCCTCATGAAAACAACAGCGTATGGGAGGTACGTGACTATGGAAGATCTAGAGGAGGGGGCCCCCGCCTTATTTTTGGACTAAAGTGAGGCCCACAGGGCAACCCCTTATTTTAAGGACTAGATGAGCGGGGGCCCCATTTACTAAAAGATCTTAATCCGACCTTAAAATCCATTTTAACACAGAGCAGGAGACCCTTTAGTATTTATTGTGAGGCGAGGGTCATTTTAATGTCCTCTGCATTTACATCGAAACACAGCGAGGTTCATCAAACAGAACACGGCCTAATTCCTTAAAACGATTTAGAAGTGTCTATTGGGTGATGTACCATCTCACACGATCAAAAACTCAAAAGCAAAAGTTCCGAAACATTTTACGCCAGTTAGAATCCGGCTGCCATCCACACCTCCTTCATAGAAGAAAGTCATTCAGGAAGCCATTTTTTCACTCTCTTTTTCTTGGTTGCCATTAATCACTTCTAAGTGTGAGGATGCTTATATATTTGTTTATTTTTACAAAGAGTTCTCTTTTTAATCAACTGGGTTAGTTTCAATGTCCGTCTTATCGTTATATTGAAGGTATTCCAGGATGGAGAACTGACTCACTACGTTGATGGAGCAGGAGACCAGAGAAATTGGATGAAATACGTCAACTGCGCAAGACATGACGGAGAGCAGAACCTGGTTCTAGTTCAAGAGGATGGAGAAGTGTTTTATGAAGTGTGCAAAGAAGTGCCAGAGGGATGCGAGTTATTGGTCTGGTACGGAGATACTTATCTCAAGTATATGGGAATTCCAATCACTATGAAGACCAAATTGTCCAAGATAGAAAACGATGGAGGTCTTGGTAAGTACACATGTTGTTCCGTACAAAAATCAATCCCGTCAACCCCCGCGAACTGGACACGGGCTCCACCCATAACCGCTGAGCCGTGTACCATTACCATAATCAAAAGAGAAAAACTTTCAATTTTGCTCACAGACGGCAGAGGAGTAACGTGTGTGCTGTCATCTGGTGGCGCTATGGCGTGTGTGCAAATAATTCATTGTGAATTCTTTTCTTTCAAAAAAATCGTTTTGCTGAATTAAGTCTTTCGTCTCAATGTGGCTTACAAAACCTTTTACGTATAAAACGTTCTTTCAGTATCATAAATAGAGTGGCAGTAGAAAGTGACGCGTACAGCTTTGAGCGCGCGCTAGCTTTCGCCACCATTCACCCATGGGTAAATAGTAAATGGGTAATTGACCAATCAGAGCGCGCGCTTTACTTTTGTTAAGTTATAATAAAATATTGAACATGTTTCAATGTACGTTATATTTCCAATACAGGTGGAGACAGCTTTGCTTGTGACCGTTGTGGCAAAGTGTTTGCTTATAAGTATTACCGAGATAAGCATTTGAAATATACGCGGTGCGTGGATCAGGGCGACCGAAAGTACCCGTGCCACCTATGCAACCGCTCCTTTGAGAAGCGAGATCGTCTGCGCATTCATATTCTGCACGTGCACGAGAAACACAGACCTCATCAATGCAGTCAATGTGGCAAGCGGTTTTCTCAGTCGTCGAGTTTAAACAAACATTTGCGAGTGCACAGTGGCGAAAGACCTTACAAGTGCCCCTACTGTATCAAAGCCTTCACGGCGTCATCGATTCTGCGCACTCACATTCGACAACACAGTGGCGAAAAACCATTTAAATGTCGCCATTGTGGAAAAGCTTTCGCATCTCACGCCGCGCATGATAGTCACGTGCGGCGCACTCATACAAAGGAGAAGCCCTGTATTTGTGAGTTCTGCGGCAAAGCGTTTGCACAATCCTACGAGCTCAAATTTCACATGAACATGCATACGGGAGAGAAACCTTACACTTGCGAAAAGTGTGGCCGAGGTTTTTCAAGTCCTTCATCCCGCGATCGCCATCGATCGAACTTCGATTGTACGACTCGGAAAAATCGAGCACCGAAGATAATGCGAAAAGGTTCCGAAGGCAATGAAGGAGAATTCAACGAGATGGACTGTGATATCATCCCTACGGAGGAGGAAGAAGAACTTAAATTATAAGTTTTTTTGATCAATTTGCAATGTTTAAATTTAAAGAGAGTTCTTTGAAGAAAAGGCATGAATTACACTTGAAGTGGAAAAAAAAGAAACAAAGATAAGTAAAGGAAACTTAAAAACGCTTTAACCATATCGTGCTGAACTAAACTTTAACCAGTTTACCTTAAATGTGACAACTTCCAGTTAATGGCTAAAATATGCTGTAATAGAGCGGCTGCCCTCTCAAGGAAGTAGGTGGAATTGCATGTCATATAAGATCAGACCTTTTCCGAGGCTCTGAAAACAAAGATATATTAAACAAATACTGTAAAAAAAATGTATGTTGCTGTATGTGATAGCAAACTGAGAAGGGTGGAGGCGCGATGAGGCCACTTACCAAAGTGGCCCAGGTTCAGATCCCAGAAGCAACGCCATATGTGCGTGGATTAGGTTTGTTGTTCGTTCCTCTGATGGAATTCCGGTTTTCCTCTCCTCAAAACCGACATTTCCATTCCAATAAGATCTGGGAAATGGTAGAGAGGAGCCAATCTGTGGATTCACTACGTTTATTTATTTATTTATTTATTTATTTATCTTTTGTTTGTTTCTTTATTTAAGTACTTATTTATATATGCATATCTAAAGTTATGTTGTCGTGAGGAAGAAAATTACCATCAACAAGCAAATTCAACTCGCATAGGGCGTCGTGTCCAGGACCCGGCCCTGCGCCACATTGGTTGCACTCCCACTTTCCTATATAAAAAACGGATTAATTTGTCTGGTTAAGACTGAGTCTCATCGTTAAAGATGTTCCCTAACAAATCCTGCTTGTTTCGTCCCCTTGAACCCATATTACTGTTAAATAAAAGGCTCACTTCTAAACAAGTTTTATTTTGGCTCTTCAGAGACACTAAACAAGAAAATTTCTTTAAGGTTTACGAAAAATTATGGGAAAAAAAAAACAATAAAAATAATTAAGACTTTGACGATCCTAGTTATTGCGTTCTCGTACCTCGAACGCAACCCCTCATTGCTGGAAGCAGTCTGACAATAGAGAGCCTAATCCTTGAAGAACTTGCATGTTAATCAATTGTTCAACCTGTTCAGAAAAATAATATTAATCATCAAATGACTCAACACTTTGGGTTCCATGAGTGATCAACATCAATTTTCTCCTGCTAAATATCACAGGAGATAAAACAGGAGCTAACAAATATGTGATGATAATGCAAGTTGCTGAGGACATGATACAAAGCGCCTCAGGAGAGATTATGCTGATTATTATGGCTTACATGTAGGCATGTCAGAGAGGTTGTCATTAGCCATCAGAGAGGCATCCTAAGCTCCGATTACTCTTCGTTTTAGACGAGTGCGAGTTTGAAGGAAACGTGAGGGAGACAAATAAAGGCACAAAACTGAAGGATGCGCAAACAATTACTTCAATCCCGATTTTCTTCGATCAAACATTGTAGCTAAGATTGGTAACTCAGAACGCAGCAACTAAGACCTTATGATTGAATAAAATTGAATTGAATCAATTCACAAATTCTTAAAATAAAAAAGATGCGCGTTTCTTCTGAAATCCAGGCACTTAAAACTGAAATGAAAGAAGAAGCATAATGGTACTATTATGTTTATTCCAAATGTAGTTTACGTGTCACTACGGAGCTTAAGCAGCAACGTTTTTGAGCGACGCACGTCAACCGGAAGTGAGGTATTTTCCCACTTAACATGCCTTGATGATGTAAAATTTGTATTCCTTAGCTTCTTTACTGTTATAGAGGCGATTTGACTGAAAATTTGCGCGAAACCACCGTCAAAAAATGAAAAAAGGCCACTTCCGGTTGACGTGCGTCGCTCAAAAACGTTGTTGCTTAAGCTCCCTATTATGGCGTCATATAATCTGAATTGGATAGGACAGCCTTTTTTTGAATCTGATGTCATGAGTTGATCGTCTTTTGCATACATACATGCATACATGTATTAACAATTCCAATTTACAAAGGAGCCCGCTGGCTAATTCCTTCGAGAGAAAAAGAAACCAGCAAATAACAATGAATTATTAAAAACTTCGGTAAATTTTGACCTTACAAAAAATCCCATTTAATGAAACCAGCGTTGTATTCGCCGATGTTAAAAGTAGCGTCGTTGCTGCTGTTTAAATTATTTATTCAATAACGGCAAGCATTAGTTGCAACTGTTTTATTAAATTTAAAAAAAGTTGTCAAGAATAATTTATCACCAAAAATGACAAGAAGTTCATGGTGGTTAAATTAAGTCGAACATAACTGAAAAACATTTTCCTTTGATGGCAGCGCGGACTTCCTATCTTTTTTCGCCCTCTCTCTCTTTCTCCCCCTCTGCGCTGAGAGTCCAGGGAGGAAAGGTGGCTTAATTGGCTAGGGTATGTTGCTTATTTTTAATACTGCATAATATTTTGATAATCACTTCACTTACGTTAGATATATTAGTGTTACTTTAGATAACTTCACTCGACCAGGCCGTTAAAACCCAGTCCGACACACATCTTTTAAATCATTCATTTTGTTAGAAAGCGAGACACTTTCATTTCGCCTTGGCCTTTCCAGTGAGCCAAACACAACCGCTTTAATTATTAACAAAACTGAAAGATCTGTTTTCAATTTGCACCTTTTAACCGCGCCATTCAAATTACCATAGGAACACAAAAGCGTATTTGCGTCTGTCAGTTCACCCAAAAAGGTCCTGAGTTTTTGACAGAGAAAGAACGAACGATCATAACGCATCTTAATGCACGGTCATAGAATAAAATACTACTCAGACGTTTATGAGAGTGGGAGAACTTTAAAAGGTGTAAATTGACAAGAAAGAAGAAAACTTTTGCGAGAGACATTTCAGAAATAAGCTTTCGTGTGTATCAATAATATTTGTCTTTTTCACGCCTCTAAATTAATATTCTCCATCTAGCGTTTTACAAATACATCGGTAGTCTATGGAAAATGAACTGAGTTTTATGTCATTGTTTCTGACCTCTGATGGCGCTTGGTTTGCAAACGTTATAAAATTTTAAAAAAAAACACCCACACTCGAAGGAAATGAGTAAACAGATCGGTGTTACGCTGCGAGCAGACGTTTCTCTCTTGCATGGCTTTTAGCGTTTACGAAGTCGTTCGTTTGGCTTGTCTGTGGCGTAGTTGGTTTGTTTACGCCACGTGAGAAATCGCTGAAGCAAAGCCACGCGAACGACTTCGTGAACGCTAACAGCCATGTAAGAAAAAAACCTTCTCTCGCAGGGTAGATCGGTGTAGGGGAAAAAGACTAATGGTGCAAGGAAAACCATCTGTCGATCAAAAATAATAAAATTTAGATGAGATCAATAATTTATTAGTACACTGCATCACGTCCGAAGTCAGTAATCCGCGTTTCGGGGAATAGTAAAATTTAAGTCAGAAACGCAACTCAAACATGGAAGTTGTTGGAAACGTAAAATAAATAGTCAGCACAAATATTTTGGACAAATATTAAATTTGGCCCATGATTTCGCTGCATGGAAGCAGATGTTTAAAATATTATTTTCTCTTTTTTAATATGAAGAGGGGCATTGTTGTAGAATATTAATAACAGTGAATGGCAAAACTAAATGTAAAACTTGTATTGCTGAAAAAAGATCAATTTTCAATCTCTCTTTCAATTGTGCTTATGTGAGCGTTTCCTTGGAGGGACCTGATCTCGCAGTGGACTGTCGAAACCACAAGTCAGCTTGAAAGAAGGTTTTGATTTAGTTATACTATTTATAATGAAGTAAAGTGTAGCAGTGAGAAGTTAAGTTTACCTTCCGTTTTAGGTGGCCACAGTACATGAGGCTGTTAAACAAGAGACATTATATATACACTCATGTTCTCTGTTGAAAGGCAAAGAAAGCAAAACAAAAATTTACTGTGAGAAATTGCAATCAAAGATTGCAGCCAACCACTGTGTAAATATTTCAAAAGGCGGTAGGTATTTTAAAAAACGTATTCTGTTTTGGCGGTACATGTAGGTATTTAAAAACAGTATTCTGTTTTGACGGTGACGGGGAACAAATTCTTGGGAAAGGACAACTGGTTAAAACTAATTTAAAGTAGAACTTCCCCCGGATGTGTTTCATTAAAAACGGGGAGGGAAAATAATTTCATTTCAGACTTGAATGATTTATATTGACGAGCGATAAAAAGAAAAACAGTTTTTAAAAGCCATTGTTTTAAATAAATCCATTTAACAGGTTTTCTATATAAACCGAGTAGAATCGACAGCGAAGAGGCTGCAGAATATTAAACGACAAAGGTATGTAACATTAATGGTAAATATGGCAAGCTTTCTTTTTCCACTCTTCTTCTATTATCAGTGAACGAAACGAGGTAGAATAATATACATATACTGCTTAATGCTTAACGCAATTTTACAGAAATCAGAGCATGAGAGCCCTTCGGATGGTAAAATCGATTATCATATTTTTTTGTCTATGTTTTAGTTTATAATCCAGTATGCTAAGACGATGAAAACAACCTTTTTCATTATTCCCTTATACATCGAATGCGGAATATAACGTCTTACTCTTCATTGTGCAGTTTTCATGCGATTAAAAGCTTTTGGAAAAATTTGACCGAACATTTTTTGAACCTATAAAACGCTGTTTACGAAAAATACATCATATTGTTTCACGTAACGTTACGATATCAGGAATAATTATGGTTATGATAAATTCGAAGCTTAAAAATCCAAAATGTAATCTTAACTTTTCGGTTTTCAGTTTTGCTGAAAGATGAAGATTCCGGCGGGGGTTTTCTTTTTACCGTCGCTCTACACATTTCCGCGATGGTCGGAGATCACTCTTAGCTGACTAAAGCACGTGTTTCGATTGTAACGCTGAAGGTTAGGGTTTAGAAGACGTCTAACTTGGTTAAAAACAAACAAACAAAAAAGCACAGCCAGTAAATAAAGATAGCTCTCACTTTTGCCATGTCGTCGCGGAGGCAAATGTTAGTTCCAATTAATTTTGGGAAAATCTGGGCGGTCGGGAAAAACTGCCCAGTCGTCTAGGGTTTTTCCGATGCATGGAAACCAAGTCAGACAAGACTTTCTTCACGCTTCAAATTATCACCCCGTCTGGGAAACCAGGGACAGGGCCATTCAGTTTAAATAAATAGAGCCTACAGCGGGGTTGGACAAGAAAAAGATCATGTTTTGTACACTTTCGTCAAAAACCAGTCAGTATGCATTTATTAAAAATGCGCAGTCAATGGGAAATAGAAAATCCCCGAAGTTCCGTCTTTGCAATTTTTCAAAATTCAAGAGAAGAAAAAAATTATATTTCCCCGTCGATAAATAAGAAAAATGGTAGCATAAATATAGGCGCTTTAATTCATGTTTAAGTGAAGCCTGGCGACGGAAGCTCGAGACTCGTTAACACGTTTACCGGTAAATATTCGTCATCACAAAAGCTGACAGAAAGGAGGCAATTGAGATCCGCTTACGAAAGCCCCTCTTGTATAGATACAATAGCTTCGAATTACCTTTAATCTTTGGCGCTATTTTTGCGCTGTCAAGACCCTAAACTAATGAACGTGATTTATTAAAATTCACATCTCCCCGCATTGTGTCCGATAAAGTTGGGTTAATCAGAAGGAAATATTACCCTTTCAAACTTTTTATAATGCTCTGATAGCAGGAAATTTTTTAATTCATTACTTTTTCAAAAAGAAAGTCGCTAAAAGTGTCAGTTTTACATCAGAGTTTAAACAGTGAGAGTTTCATCTAAACAGTACAACCATTTTCGTTTGAAAGGAAGGACTAAAAAATATGCTTACGGCAAATTCGTAATTTCCTAGTTATTATACCAGCTATCGAATCATGTTTTGTTCGGAAGTGAAGTTTCTTGTCAATCTGTTTTTCTTAACTTTTTCCGGCTTCGTTTCTCAATCATTTTGCTGTACGTGCGGCTGCTTAAAGGCCATCTTAAACTTTGAATCGATGTACATACAACTACTGGTAAAAAGCCTTTTATGGGAGCTCGATGAATTTTGACAAAATGATACCTCGTACATGTACTGCTATTTCGAGCACTGGGCCAACACTGAACGTTGGTGTTCAACGTTCATAAAACTGAACAATTTTGAAGAAAGACAAATTTTCCTTGCCGGAAAAAAAACCCACAGTCCAAACGTTTAAACATTTGATAGGTAGGTGGTATTACCTATCACGGCAAATGCGTAATTAACTCCGATTTCAGCCATTTTTATAAAACGACTTTAATTAGCAAGGCATAAGCCTTTCTTTATGTTGGGAGAATCCCACAAGATCGGAGATTTTCGCAGCACTTCAAATATTCAAGATTTACCGACAATGAAAACACGAAATCACAAACATGCCTTATTGTTTGAAATGATCGGAGATAAATTTAAACGAAACAAAACACAGCAACAGGAACGTTTGAACTCCAAATGTCTCCGAAACATTTTTGGAAAGCTCTAGACTATTGGATCACAAATTTGGACTGTTTGTAACTGTAGCGGTGATATAAAGTGGTATCTATTTTCAAGTTCAACAAAATCAGGCATGAAATATACGCAAATCAAAAGGGACGAGGTTTGCCAGGTCTCTTCCTTAATCTTACGATTGTTGATTCTTCGATTAATTCTTCCTAATAATGCGATAACTCGATACGGCAGCAAGGCTCGAGCCTGTATTAATGGAGGGAACCGTGATGTTGAATTTGAGCGAAATTGTAAGGCATTTAACAATCACGGACTATCGAGAGCCGCCACAAACAGATTCGGTGTAAGTCGCCAAAAATGTTTAAGCCAAAATATTTTAAATTTGAACGATCAACCGGCCTTTAACTCTTGCAGCACGGTTAAAGTTCAAAATCCAGAGAGATAATTTAAGTGGCCTTCAAGAGTTATCTTGAAAATTCCGGAAATACAAAAGAAGAAAAACTGTGAAACCGCCATAGACAGTTCCATTTGAATACTCAAATATAAGAAGATTTTGTTAGAACTAGGAAAAAAAAATCACCGGAAGTGATAATAGCGGCCAGGACTGAGGTAAAGTAGAGTTAAGCTGTAATGTTTTATCAAATTTAAAACACGAGGAGTAGCCGAGTTTTTAGGCTTGGAAAAACAAATTGCGAGTTAAGTAAACGACTTCAAAAACTTTCCATCAGATCGACTTTTTTTCTCACAAAATCACATATCTTAGGTTTTCTTATAATCTTTCGAGAAAATCGGGATTAAAAGCTCAGCCGTGTTTTACGGACTTTAAAACACTCATTAGCAATTAATTCCCTTTGTGTTTATGAACTATTAACGAGTTTCTGAAAGCACATGAAAAGTCCATGTTGAGTTGCAGGTGTATGGTAGGAATCACAGACATTTCCTTTTTCTTTTTTGCAGACTATTATCAACAATATGATCAAGCTATGGGTGTTCGTCTTAGCTTTAGTAACTGCATCTTATTTTTCACAAGCTTCAAAATGTCCCGCCAATTGCCACTGTAACAACACGGCGATGGAATGCACCATTGATGATCTGAATGACCTCAATACTACACACGACCGCAACTTAACCAGCTTGTAAGAATTTACTTTACACGTTTTTTCTTTTAGAGCCAAATTTGTGACTTCCATAAAACTCGAAACAGGAATAACTACGGTAGTTGAGAGGATCTCAACACTAATTTTAACACTAAGGTCCATAATTTTCCTTGAATATTACCTGGTATAGCTGCACTATATAACTTAAGTTGGTCGTAATAGCTAACGAGCGTCTGACATTTAAACCAGTCAAGCCCTTAATTTTAACATCAGAAGCCAGCAGTTACGTAAGTTTTTTTGCAACTAGTTCCTGGTCTCCAATACAGATCTACCATGTTGATTTGTTGTGTTTTCATGTTTCCATATTTAGTAAACACGAATTCATCTGATCTCCATGAGATTGTTAGGATCGATACGGACGTGATCTCAAAATATGCCGCCAAGACCTCCGGCCGATATTATCGCACAATATCCCTCGTGCTTGCCTTATAACAGGGGCACCCAACGAGGATATAGTTCAAAACCACTTAACATAGCATTGTTGAACGTAGTTTAGTATTCAAACGGTAGATATAGGCATATTTTTATCCCCTAAAACCTTTTCATCTGTTCGGATTTCCTAGCTGAAAGTCTAGTGATCCGAAAATTATAGGGATAAAAACTTACCTTCTCGAAAACTTCAACCAGGAATAGGCTCCCGAAAATTCTAGGTGGCCTTTTTTAGGGTCAAAATCCGTTAAAAATGGGTAATTATACCATTTTGTCGATGTTCGAAAATCCTAGGAGAGGCAGGCAAGCAAGAAATTTTACAACAAATGCTCCGAAAATTTTAGATCTCAAATCGTCTTCCGAACAGATATTTTCCTTAAAATTGCCGTTGGGTGCCCCTGTTATAAGAACGACATTCGCCATTGGCTCACCGGTCTGAGCACATGAAAAACATTGACTTAGAGTGGTTTGCTTTATTGCGAGCAACCAATCAGGAGCCAGTAATCCTGATCTCCACGTTGCTATTACCAATGCGCGGGACGTATGTAGCCAGCATTCGTTTAGATTTCAACTAAGAATGAATGGAATACATAGAACGCAATCTGATCACGCGCGTTTCGTCCATCTCTCACGTGAAGAACGAGAGCGTTTTGACCTTCGATCTCGCCCACACCCCCTAACCTATGGTTATTACTAGTACCAAAATAACATTCATTGAAAACTTCTGAGTCTGCGAATTCCTTAACCTTTATATGTCCCAACATTGACCGACATCAATTTTCTCCTAACAACAGTGAACTTACGCAACAAGGCGGGAGAGGAAAGAAGAAGGCAAACCTTTGGTGACAAGCGTGACAATAATTTTGTTCCAAATAAACTTTTCACCAAACTTCACTTTCCTTTAAACAGATCTTTTAGTTAAAGACCAGAAAACATTAGTGATAATTGAAGATCACGACAAAACACGCAAATAGCCCTGTCACGTTTGTCGAACACAAGCGTTTTGCCGTCATCTTCTTCTTGCCGTCTTGTTGCGTAAACTCACTAATATCAATACCTAATCTAGCCTGACAGAACAGCCGACATTTGGCGATGCTATCACTGGTTTCCCCGCAAAATGAAGTCTCAGAAACGAGCGCAGAAATTCCATACTGATGACGCGTCACTACCCAAATCTGGGAAGTGCTTCTGATTGGTTGAATCAAATTTTGCAAGCAGCACGGCCAAGTGATGATACAATAAAAACCCGCGAGTAAGAACCTGAAAATTAAGAACCTGTTAGCCTAAAATTTGCCATTTATATCCCCTATAAACAAGAACCTGTTTAGCCTAGAAAATGAAAAACAGGTTCTTATTTTTTAAAATCATATTATTGAAATGCAGCTGCAAAACTGTGCAAGAATCCTGTTTGGAGAATTAGGAACTTGGCATTGCTGTGCAAATAAAAGTGCTAATTTATTGATGTAATAAAAAATAAAGTGCAAAAGGTTAATATCGTTGTATCGCATTTTGAAATTGACCAATAGGCTGATTACCATCTTGTTTTGTAGCTTGTTTTTTTATTTAATTTTTTTTTTACAGAAATAAGAACCTATTTAAGAACCTAAATAGCCTAAAATTGTGTTAACTACCATTTAAATAAGAACCTGTTAAGGCTAACTCCAGAAAATGTAGGTTCTTACTTGCGGGTTTTTACTGTAATCCAAACGCAAATTGCTGTGGAGGAGTTCTTCTTAGTTACGTTAGCATTTTGGAAAGTTGCATAGGATTACCTGATAACGACAAAAATTCTTCCATTTGTCCTCCCACGCCTTGCTTCCTTTAAAATCTTCCTCTGTCGTACAATGTGTTATTACGTCAATCGAAATCTTGGTCATCTGCAAATTAATCAAGAGACATTGTAAAAGGCGAGAGACTCACTTTTGTCAAAACTGGCGTTTAACCTTTATTAAGTTTTTTCTTCACTTTTTCTTAGTGATTAGAACATAAGTCTGAGACCTAACTCTATCGATATTATAAAAAGTTCCCACGATAACTATAGTCACTAAAGAGAACATGGTAGCAGCTTAGTACAAAAATGTACCCGGAAATTTAATGTATGGAAGGTGTGAATAACTTGTTATTACATTGATGGCTGCTTTAATTGGGAATAAACGGTAGCTTAATTCGCCACATATTCAGACAATTTGTACCATTTCCTTTAGAACTCTTTCTGGAGGCAAAATCAAGGAAATCCCCCCGAGAATATTCACTGGATTTCCCCGACTTCAGTTCCTGTAAGTATTTCTTTTGCCCCCCTTGTCTTTGTTTTCGATTGCCGTAACCAAAAATGATGGTAGATATATACTAAAATATTTAAAAAATAAGCAAAACAACAGGGGCGGATCCAGAAAATTCAGAAAGGAGAGCCGGGACACTTGGCACTACAAAGAAGGGGCGAGGTCCCGTTCCTGGACCACCCCTTGATCCGCCCATGGATTGAAGGAGCCAGTCGTTTTAATCAGTAGAGATGCAGTGATGTAGCGGGCTTGCACTTTAGTTTCTCCTTCGTCTAACAGATACTCCTTTATAGGTCTCTTGCAGGCAATGAAATATCACAGATCTCCAATGGATCTTTCAGTGGTTTAAACAACTTACAGGAGCTGTGAGTGGCATTGTACACTGTTTCATCGAGAACTTTTACATAATTTACGTCATATGTCAAGAATGAGGGCGAGTACTTCATCACGAGTTCCGAACACCGAGAAACAAATGTAAACACGAGTTCGTCAGCCGAGGGCTTTCATCTGTTTCGAGGTGTTTGGAACTCGCCTTGATGAAGCACGAAGCCAAAGTTTTTGCATGTCTTCTCAAATGAAACAACAAGACACAGGGGCGGATCCAGGATTTTTTTAGGAGGGGGTGCACTCGTCTCTTGCTCTACCTCAACACCAATAAACCACATAGTTTTTTTATTTTTTTGCAGAATACCAGTTGTATTAGAAAACCGCAGGTCATCTCAAGGGGGGGGGCGCACCCCCTGCACCCCCCCCTAGATCCGCCCCTGAGAAATAATGCAGCGACATGTTTTCTCTGGTATTGCATTGGTGGTGTTTTACCTGGTGTTTCGTTAGATATCAAGATTTATCCACCTGACCCAAATGGTCGTCATTTATTGGCTTTTGACTACCTGAATAATTAATGAATTTGAGAATACCATCTGAAGTATTGAATTCCTTTAGATATATACACTGGGATTAAGCTGGATTAATGAAATTTACTTTAAATGCATGGTGGGACCAAGGATATTGGGCAAGAAGAGGGATATTAGTTCTATTGCAGGATATCACATCGGTTGAATAATATCAGGCAGGACGAATGATAGCAAGTCGGATAAAGGATACTTGTCGAACAAAGCATATCGCGTAGGACAAAGGATATCAGGTTGGGCAAATATCACGTCTGACAAACGATATCAGGCTGGCTAAGGTATAGCAGTTCCCATTTAGGATATCAGGCAGATTTTAACAAAATCGGGGGCAAACGAACAAATGAGGTCGAGAGACAGGATTTCCTCTAATATGCGACTTCCTACCCAGGTAATTCTTTTTTCACGTCCGAAAAAATTACGAACACATAAATTAGAAACCTATAAAGCAAATTAAAACACATACATTTTTTTCACTCGAAGAGCAATTCAGAGCATGCCTCTCGGGCCAATATTTATTAATTTATTAATAATCTAATTGCACTTTTCTATCAAGGGTTCTAGAAAACAACCAGATCCACACTGTACTAGCAGAAGTATTGCTCCCTCTGAAGTCGCTGCGGTATCTTAACTTAAAAGGAAACAGATACAAACGTTTACCGTCTTCCATACTGTTACTGCCTTCGCTGGAAAAGATTAAGGTGGATAATATTACAAACTGTCAATTTTGTGAGATTGACTTCGCGTTAAACTGTTCGTCTGAATATCAAAGAGAATTTAGACAAATTGCAGCCTTTGGAAATGTTTCTGGCGTTTGTGTAAGCTGGATTAATTGCCAGTACTTTCCCAACAATTCATGCGCTCGCCCCTCCCCTTCAAAGGTACCTCCGATCAAAAATTTGCAGACGAATTCCACGCAATTCAACTTAAGCACTGCGCTTTATAACAATTCATACCACAACGACAGCGGCCCGCCTTCAGCAACATCGGTGCCTCTGATAGAAGACAGCGTGCCACTAAAATCCTTCATATTCATCTTGAGTTTGGTGGCTGCTTTCTCTAACATGCTCATTGTCAAGGTTGTATTCACCACAGAGAGACTAAAAAACCTTAAGGCTATGTTCCTTGCTGGTCACATTGCTGCGTGTGATTTCTTAATAAGTTCTTTTTTACTGGTGATTGCCATCAACGCTACAATTCTTACTTCTGAACAGAGACAAAGACACATTGATTCTTGGAGAAAGTACGTCTGTCCCACGATAATCTCGACTCGTTCAGTAGCTCTTCTTGTGGAACCTTTGGCCCTTTTCTTAATGACTTTGGATCGCTACAAGCTCATCGTACATTACTCAAGACCGGCAACCCATCTCACGCGTCGTACTGTGTTAATCACGATCTCCTTGGCGTGGTTATTAAGCGCTATCCTCGTGGGCAGTCAAACAATGGGCTTCGTGACGACTCATGAATTCAAAAGCATTCTTTGTGGACGGGCGAGCTGGAGTAAAAACTATGGAGATTACATCGAGAAGACAGGAATCGCTGGTAGCTCTGTCCTTTTTCTGCTGTCATGTGTCATGTACATTCGTATTTACCGCGTAGTGAAGACCCAGGATAACATAAGGAGGTCAAAGGCGTACACAAGAGTCGCTAAACTTATCTTTGCTCTTGTGTTGAGCACGCTGGTATTATGGTACCTTCCAGCTATGATTGTGGCATTTATAGGGCACCAGACTTACGCGAAAGAAATTCGTCAGCTCACCATCTTCATTTCATTTACCACAAACTCGCTGGTGAATCCATTTCTGTACGTGTTCAGAGAGAAAAAATTCCGACAGGAATTGCGCCTCCTTTTACGTATGTGTAATTCCAACGCAAAAACAGTACAGAGCAAGCGCAAGATTGAAAGGAATCCAACGGGTATTGTCAATGGAGGCAGATTTACGGACGGTGACGATGAATCAAACAAGACTCATGGCACGTCCCTGTAAAGGAGTTAACCTGTTGCCTTAGAATGCGGCGGTTGTAACTGTTAGTAATTCGAAGGAGACAGACACTAAAAAATATAGATTTAGCCGAGGCCAAAAGCAGAGCTCTCGTGGGAACTCTTAAGAAATGGCTTTCTAAAGTAACGTTTTCAGAGCCTACGATCGCTTGAATGCCATGACTGGTCAGCAGAGAACTTTTAAAAAACACGTCATCTCAATGACATGTACACCTGAGTCCGGGATACAGTTATGGGACACTGGTCAGAGGATACCCTATTTTGACAGCTGTCAATTGATCATAACATGATCATGACATACAATATCAAGATAAACACAACAGCTTGGTCTTTTAAGCTAGTAAGACCTTTCACATCCTCTTTCATGAACGGGCGGACGTACGTACCGACGATTTTGTCATAGCCGAAACTTCTTGGATGTATAGTTAATCACCAAATTTCATTACCCATGGCGCTCCGCTATAATATTTGCTACAGCAAATAACTAAATGTAGTAACTATTCATCAACAGGATGCCCGAAATACATGTAGTTTAACCACTGGCTCCGGCGCAATAAATCCTAGACCAGTAGCAGAACACTGTTTTTGGAGGAGCCATTCACAAAATAGTACAGTTAATGACAGGACATTTTAATTATTGGAAATATTAGTTTTAGCATCCCTGGGAAGCCAATAGGGGTGAGGATGATTAAAGGGACAGGTTCACGGTTAAGTGCATGCTCATTACTTAAATTACTTCCTTCCAATTTATTATTAATTCTATCGGTTAATAATCCCACTCACATGTATCTCAGCGATCTCAGAGTGTATTTCAAAGTAGAATTGTATTCAGAGTAATCTGAAGTAGGATGGAGGAGTACTAAAATCGCCGAAAAAATGGTGGATTATGCCAACACTAACAAGGTTGAATTTATTGTTGACCCGAAGGTTTTATTCCATGGTTGATGAATTTACAGCTATTTGCAAGTATTTAAGTTAGTCAAGGGCAAGTGACTGCCAGGGGAGTGTGCAGATTGGTTCTTTGACAACATCATTCCGTGCTCACATTGCTTGCATGGACGATACAGCATTTCCCGGCAGAAAAACAGCATTTTGATAAATGAGCATGCGCTGAACCGTGAACCTGTCCCCTTAAGTAGCAATACAGAAAAGTTCAATAATAAATGTCTAAAAATGATGGTCCATTTAGTGAACACTTTATAATCGCTACAATGTGAAAAAAGAGGTAAAATGGAGACACCTCTTCAACAACCCTAGCAATAGCGAACTTCAGCTGTATCTTGAGGACCGTTCACTGAGGTTGATGGCCTTTTTCAACAATTGTAATGACCGTAGCATAGATAATAGAGGAACCTGGCAAAGATGAAAACAAAGGGGCTGCAATTTATGTTGATAGCACTCTGACGGTGCTGAATCATCACAAATTGTGAATGAATGAATGAATGAATGAATAAATAAATAATGATTTGGAGGTAGCACATCCACAAAGTGGTTCTTCCTCTACCTGATTCCTGGTCGAATTGGAATTTGGAAATGTTGGTTTTCGAGGAGAGGGGAAAACCGGAGTACCCGGAGAAAAATCTCTCGGAGCAATGGAGAGAACCAACAACAAACTGAAAAAGACTTGGTTATATCCAGTTTTCTTTGCAGCCACTTTTCCTGCATATTCAAAAACCCATTAATAAAATCACAAATTGTGAATGAATGAATCTGGAAAAGACGTGGTTATATCTAGTTTTCTTTGCAGCCACTTTTCCTGTATATTCAAAACCTTATTAATAATTCATAAAGACAAAAACAAAAAGAAATTAATGTTTAATGAGTGTCTTTTATGTTTGATAAAGACACGGCTTAACTTTGCGTCCAATTTTTTAGACGAAAATAACCCCAAATCCAATTGTGAAAGAATGAGTTGATCTATTTCAGATAGTTTAAAGCCGTTCAAAAAACTCGCAGTTTTGCAACGAGTTTTTAAACCTTATAAAACACTCCTGATTGTTTTTTAAACAGTACCTCATAAACAGGGGAAAAAGAGATGAAAAAGTATCTGTTTAATAGATAAACACTAGGTCGGAGGATTTGTTTTGGAAAGGTCGCACGAACCAGTAAAAGCTAGATCGAAGAATGACGGCTGACCAAGAATTGTCCCTGGACGGAAAGAAATCATTAAAACAAGAAATGTAGAAGCTGTAAGTAAAAACAATTTTCAGCGACGTCTTCGAAGAAAGCGCAAGTACGAACACGAAGGATTGCCATAGAGACCCATTTTCTAAGTGTTTGTTTACATGACAATAACGTTTTCTTTCTGTGTGGTCAGTTGTGTTGTAAATGTACTTATGGACCCAGACATTTGTCGCCTATCATTGATTCAGATGCAGAGTCTGGATTTGTAGCTAAAAAAATGAGCGAACACCAGGATGAAAACTTGACATGGTCATAATATTCAGTGGATCCACCTTGAACACATCGAGAATTTACGGGATTGCTTTCTTTTCAGAATTTAATTAACACATACGCTACACTTTTAGAGACTCTTGAGGATAGTCAACGATTTTTCTAAAACAATAGGCCCAGAAATAACAAAAGATGCCCGTACCCTCAAAGGCACCAAATTCGTAAATTATTTACATGTAAATTATTCACATATTTTATTGCTCAAAATTGCAACCAGAGAACAGAAAGCAGAGGCCATTATTTTTCTCGTACACGACAACTTCAAAGATGATGCATTCCAGGTGAGATACCTACTGTTTGCATACATTGAGATTCCAGTTTTTCTTTTCGTAGCAGCTTTTGACTTTTATAATTGAACGAAATCTTTACTTTCTCCTTATAAGAAAATCACATTACGGGAGAGAATAGCAAAACGATAATATATACTTAAGATATTGTTGTTGTTTCCCAATAATATTAAGCTTTATTTTGGCATATATTAGACTATTCACGGTTTATTTTAAACGAATGCACTGTTTTCGTTCCCAATGGGAGATGCTTAGCAAAACATTTACATAACGGCGTTTTGTTGATTTTTCAAATCATATATGGGCCATTGATCCTTTAATTTCCCATCGAAGTTGAAATGACACCCCAACTTCCGTAAAACAAAATCCTGAAAAAGAAAAGACAAATAGCACCACTCGGAAGCACTCAGGGGAGGTATTATTAGAGCAATCGAAGGATTTTCACAATGGACGATACAGATGGAACAGCACATCATGTGGTTAAGAAAACGATTTTATAGTTTAACTCTAATTAAACGGAGGAAAATTGGCATAATCTCCTTCAAAAGACCTTTCTCTATTTTCTACACGGTATGAAGCTTACCAAGGAGATAAACTTCAACTCTCAAGCGCCTTTTTTCCTTTGACCGAATATTTCACCGTTACTTTAGAGGATGCAACACTCATGTGACAGGTTTTTCAAGGAAACATTCGCTGAGAACCTGAGTTCTTCAACAGATGATTCAGAAAATATAAATACAGCATGGTTTTCATGTCTGAAAAAATATTTCAAGACTTAATGGCAACAATTTCCCGAACAAAACATTTTCTAAATAAAACAACCAGTGAATTATGACTCCATGAGATATCGTTTAAATAGTCGATCTACACATAAGGATCCGAATACAACCAACGATAACTTTTATTCATAAAAATAATTATTCGTTTTCGTTTCTGATCTTAAGCAAATTTTTAAGTGATCTTAAAAGAATCTATCGTTATTTTAAATATTTGCAGAACTAGCATTTCAGGTGGACTATTTGAAGAATTTATCTGTACCTAGGGGAAGAAATAGCGGTATTTGGGCTCATTCAGAGTTAAATAAGTCTTCTGTATTATATGCAATAAAATATTTCATGAAAATGGATGTACAATTTACTTCATAAATCGCGTTTACTAGGTAAAAGGTAACAAATATTGCCAAATGTATAGTTATGTAGAACATTAATCATTTTTTTAAAAACGCTACTTTGGTTTTCCGAACGTTCTCGTCAGTTTTAAAACCGAATTGAAGGGAAAGAAAATTCCTCGTTCCGCAGATCGGATAAAAAAACCTCTTAAAATCAGAAAAAGTAATAATAACAGAAGTATTGCTAATGACATTATCCACCTGTTTTGAGCTGCCGCTCTTGATCGAGTTAGCTATTCAATTGCAAATTTACAAAGTAAAGCCTCTGTCATCTGCGTTTTTAACCGCAATTAATTGTATTGTATACAGTAACAAAGAAAACACCTTTTATGAGGCATTTTTCCACAGCGATAATTACAGTACTAAGTACGTAACCTGTTTTGATAATGAACTCATCTCATGGCAACGCAAGATCGATCGAACGCACGTTGTGGCTGCAATGTTCTTGCGTTAAGAGAAAGTAAAATTAGTGACTAGACAAGAAGGATAATTTATAATAAAAGGGAGAGCAAACAATTGTCTAGCGTTTGATAAAGTCATTTTTATTACAATTTTAAAATTGGCTATTAGTTACCGCAATAACATTGTATTATCCTTTAATACAGCTTGGTTGGCGACCCGCTGATAAGCATTTACAGTAAATTATACGAAACGAATTAGCACCTTTTCTTCCCTGTTATCAACAGTACAGTTTGATTAGTCTCGAACGATGACAGTGAGGCCCACCAATAACGCCAAAAATATAAATCAGTGAGATCTTGACGTAGACCGCAGTGAAAAGTTGTAGCACCTTCACGGGACGATGTTTGTAACAGGCAAGACGATCAGACTCTAAACTTCACATACGACCTGGGCACGTGCAGTGTTGTGTGACTTTTCATGTTCATTCCAGTTTCATTTTTTACTTTTATGTCCGCTCCATTTTGGGCTTCATTTTCATTTTAGTTTCGGCCTCATTTCTATTTCGGTTGCATATTTCTCTTCAGTTTCCGCTTTATTTCAGTTGAATTTTTCGTTTAATTTAATTTTTGATTGAAGCTTTATTTTCATTTCCATTTCAATGAAGAACTGACTTTTAACGAAGGTAAGCTGGGAAAGATTTTTTTGTTCCATCTTCACTTGAAGATTGTTTGTTTTGTGACACAGCGTGGTTTGACTGAGATGTCATCATTGTAGAACTCGTTTAAAGGGCCGTATACTCTTCAAAACTAGTTGTCAGAGACAGAAATGTATCACCTCTCTCGTTAAAATTGTCCAACACAGATTACTTTTTCTACAGATTTTATATGAGAAATAAGTGGGGGGGTGGTATTTTTGGCCTATATCTTTCAAAAACAACCCGAGTGTGAGTGTTATTTTCGAGCACTGAATTTGCAGTCGACTGCGCTCATACAAATTATTAAGATAATATCGGTGACTCTCATAAGTACAGTATGGGGCCCAGTTCTCGGCCACTTTTTGTTCAACGTTCATTTCTGGAGCCACAAATGAATCTGAATAAAAAGCAATTGCTTCCAAAGGTAGCTTCATTCCCTGTCTTTCTTCCTGCCGAGTTTTGAGTTTACAGCTACTACATACTGTGAGCACGTCGAGGTGACGCGAAGGTAGGTGAATTAGGTTTCCCCGAAAACGTGTTCGTTTACGGCTATTCGAATTCAAATTTATATTTTATCCGTATACAGGGCCCAAATGAGCCAATTTTTAGCCTAAAGAACGTAGAGTGATAAAGCTAACTGTTGAATATAAACTTTTGCTGGCCTGTTTCATTCTTTGACCTATAATTCACTCCTCAATATTTCCTTAGCACTTTGGCGTATTTGCCTATTCTCGGCGACACTGCTCGCCATCAACACTAAAAAGCGCTCATAGTTTTGAATGGAGTTTTTTGATGGCAGAGGAATCGAAATTTTAAATACAATTTCATCCGCCGAGGCAAGAATGAAAGAAAGAAGTGTTCTGACAGTAGATATGAATTAAAACTATGAGGTCTGACTTAAACCGTCAGTCTTTAAAATACCCAACTCTTTTTTAGCCTCGCTTGACTGCCTGCACTTAAGAGAAAAACAAGGTGTGCAAAAAACTTCCTTTTCTAACGTGAAACAAAGCTCTTTAAGGATAATTTGTGATCGAAATATTAAAACACAAGCCTTATAAGTGATCTAACAATAAAAAATGGAATCGAGCGCACTCTTTTGTGGCCGAGAACTTTGCTCGCTGGCCGATGACTGGGCCCACAAACGAAGCCTCCATTTTCGTTATTACTTGGGAGAAAACAGCGTTGAGCAGTCGATAGCTTTACATGTGTAAACCAGAAGCATATAACCCCGAAGCGTATAACTATGTCGCAATGCTGGGGTTTTTTAGGGAACCAATCAAAACTTACTTCCTAATATGGAATTACTGATAGAAGAATTTTTTTGCGAGAGTGCTCTATATAGGAAAACTTGTAGTATCGCGATGTAAACGATGCGGTGCATAAAGTATTTACTGTTTTACGAGGTAATATTTGACGAAAAACGGAATATAGTACGTATTCATCCCCAAATGCATATGACCAGTTCTGAGTTTGTTTCTCCTTACAAGACAAAGTCGACTACTAATGACATGCACTGAAGAGAAGCGACTTCTTAAAGTTGTTACCTCAAAAACGGTTTTTACGTGAACATTATAACGCAAATAACCTTTAAAAAATCACTTTCTATCTATCTAGAATAAATAGTAACACATATTTTCAAATAAAATTCACTAGTTGCTGAACTCGAAAGGAAAAATTGTATAAAATTCGCTGACATCTTCGCAGAAGTGATGCGTGAAAAAAGCATAAAACGCAAGTTATATTTATCAAACAAGACGCCGGCGATCATGTTTTCAACTAATGTTATTAATGAACCAACAGTAAACAACAACAGACAAATGATTTCTTGAAAATTTTTATTCGAAAACTCATAAGTTTACCGTTAAAAGCAATTCACGTAACACTGACTGGATCGTGGATCCTTTCCCACAAGTAAAATAAGCTGAGTACATGGCAAAAATTAACACTAAAATTATCTGTCTCAGATCGGCGCATTTCCCAATTTTTCTTGAAAACTCTATCAAAAATATATAAAACGTCCATGAAACATTTATAAATACATAAATTTCCTCTCAATAACGTACTTTCCTTGAGCACAATGTGTAAAATGTTTACCTCGAAATTCTTTAAAATAGTTGCTGACTTGGTCGCAGTAGTTCAGAAAAATAAACAAGCGCTCCGCCGTGAAAGAAACAAGGTCTTCGAAGTCTTCGAAGGTAAATTTCGCAGCTTAAAGTTTTTTTTGGCCCCAAAAAGAAAACAAACTTTTACATGTCACACGTTTAATCAAAACTGCTACACATGTGTTCGCGTAATGTTCTGAAAAAAAATCTACACTCACAGAAAAAAGATTCCGTTCCGACTTCGTCGGGTCCTTGTACAACAACCCTTCTGCACAGCTTGCCATATCATTTTGTTTGTAGTCGCCATGCTGGTTTTTGCTGAATGAGAACAGAAGTTGCGGATAACTGTTTTGCCGTGGTAGATAGGTTTGCAGCTAGTAGCCTGAGGACGACCCTTGTCGGTCAACATTCGCTGATTTCGGCGAGAGGCTTTTCCATGGCGTTTCCATATAGTGAAGAATTGTAAACATCCTTGGTCTTACTCCGTCGATGGCCTATGTTTTCAGGCCATACCGTTTATAATTTTGTGTGGCTCTTTAAGTTTTCCCCGGGTGTAACATAATTACTTTATCTTTTATGCCACGAAACGATTTCTTACGGTCATACATGTATAAGCGCTGCAAGCTCAAAGTTTTTAGCCTTGGATTCTCTGATGCCATATTTGGGCAAAATAATTTTCCATGATTCTGCTTAGACGGCTCAGCGTCGGCTAAAAAACCCGAGCATGGTTCTAAACTTATAGGGGGAAGTTATACGCTTCGGGGTTATATGCTTCTGGTGAAAACTGAATGCTGAATATAGTTGTGTGTGAAATTTCAAGTCCTCACGGCTATTCCAAGGTAAGAAATACAAGTTTACGTTTTTTGTGGCCGAGATCTGGGACCCATACTGTACTTCTTAACTCACAAAATTAGAGCAAATAAATTTCTGGTTTTGTCCTCATTAAGCACTTGGCCGATTTGAAATTACTCCCCAATTACTTCCTGAATTTCACTCCACTCGGTCCTATTACAATTAATAATGACTTGAAAGTGCTCCTTTAATCTAATTGACCTGATCTGTAGCAGAGGGTTGATGAAAAGATGCGAAAAAGTGCTTTTTATGCAAGATTAACATGTCATGTCTCCCCTTCCCCGCCGCTCCCAAAGAAACTGGTAGTTTCTCGGAGCTCTTGGGCAGTAAGAAATGTAAAACAAGAAAAACATATAATAATAATAATAATAGTAATACATTGATAATAATCAAGTTACACTCAGCGTGAAACAGAAATTAATAAGTTAATACTAAACCTATACATTAAATAGAGTGAAGAAAATATATAGAAATTTTTAGAGAGAGAATATATTAATAACAAGATAGGAGATATTTCTTTAAAGATAAGTGTGGAATTAATGTACCGCGGTAAGCTAGCAGCATTGCAGCTTGTTAAAGAAGACAAGACCTTGATAGCTAACAGAAAACTTCATTATTTTAGTACGACACAGCAAGGAATTTATAACTCGATTTGAGTTAGCGTCATAACCATAAACTGTAAAAACTGGAAAAGGTGGTTGGAAGTAAGTTGTGATTCATTGTAAAGACACAAATTTTACCTAGGTGCAAGATTTAAATGCTCTCAAATTTCAGGAACTTACGATTCTTGAATATGTTTATTGTTTCAGGATTTGAGCTGAACGTTAAATCTTCCAGTAACGATAACAATAATTCGAAGAGTAAAATAATTTAAAGGGTAACTTATTGCGACAATTCAATGCAAACTTCAAAAGTATTTTAAAATTGTATATAATCAGCGTGCCATGTTTCTATTTCTCGATTTTTTCAATTAAAGTTCAATCTCCATTTATCAGATGAAATAATTTAAAGCGCAATAAATAACAAAAAATTGTCTTCCATCTGAAACAGCGTGAAGTTTATTTGAACTCCCAGAAATACAAAAGACAAAACAAAAATTTGGACCTGTCGACAGTGATGTCAAATGCCAGAAAATGTCCCTGACTGATACATCAGTGTATAAAGTTTTGTCATATTTTCATCGGCATTTGGTTGACTTGTCTGAAGTTGAATTAAGCGCAGTAGTGGGAAGTAAACAACTAAAAATATCCATCTTTACGTCAAATTCAACTAATAACATACACCACATAAATATTTCCGATTGTAAACAATTTCGTGCAAATCTCTTTAAGTTTGGCAAAATATTAATTATAACTTACGTCTCGACAATAAATATCACGTTTATCTCACTTTTATATAGGATGCAGAGACACATCAATGCCACCATTAATAAATTTTTTATTCTTGGAAAGTGCTAGCAGGGAAAGACTGCAGGGTACTCTCAGTCATTTAAATTTTTAACCAGACAACCCGATTATTTCAATAATTTAGCACATCCCCATCAACTGTTCGCCTAACCGACACAACGCGTAAATTTCAAGTACATTTTACATCTAAGTTTTCCACGATTTTTTTTCTCTCTCCAATTAGAGATATTCGCTGGTTCATCTAAACAGATTTCCACGAGAACGGATAACTAAAGCCACAAATTATTGGTAAGGATATATAATGTCATAGATAGTTTGTAGTATACTTCTATGTGCTGTGTGCATACTGTCGAAATTCTTAAAACCTTTTCTATCTTCAACCGACAAACGCCATACCCAAAATGTCAATTTTTTCTGCTTAACTTTAGCATTTTACCCAGTATTTGTACATCAGAAGTATAGAAAAATACAATTTATATTGTTTAATTTCCACACGCAAATTGTTTTCAAATAGCTGGTAAAAATCTGCATCACGCTTTGAAGACCCTGCAGCAACGGTTATAGCCTCGGGTTAAAAACGAGCTAAGCAAAAGGCAAGAGATTTGTTAGTTGAATACTTTTTGCAGTGAATTGCATACCACCACCACTTAGCTGTACACTCCATTTAATTCGGGAGCGAGTTAGAAATTTTCACATCATGCCAGTTAATATTTCATTTCTTCGGCACTACACTTGTTTTAAATTCAAATAGAATTGATCAAGAAAGAGACCTTATGCATGAATAAGTCAGACGAACAAACTTCACCGCCAAGCCTCATTTCGAAAATCTTAATTTTCAAAGTTTTACATAAATGAATTCCCACAATAGTTACTTTGAAAAAAATTCTCGTTCAAAAAGAGCCCAAATGCAAAGAATTATGTTAACGCATACATGTAAGAGCCATTAAACATCTTCTCTTCCGCGTTGAAGTCCCAGTGGATTAATCTCCTACAAGCAAATTCAAACCCCTCACAAACAATCACCCCATATAAGATTTTGCTGTTACAGTATTTTGAAAACATTGACACTTTAATATAAAGCCGATGTATTATCAATATATATTCATGTGCTCTACAACATAATGAGAAACATGCTCATGTTCTGAGCAGTTAGTTTTTATGTTCAACTCAGTTTGGTAGCGCTTCCCACTGATTGAATTTACATAAATTTCGTCTAACAGCTCCTTTAAGGGCTGAAACTCCCCCAAACAGCTTAGCAAGAAAAACCCAAACAGAACACTCCTACGCTCCAAGTTTCGAAAAACAACGAAAAAAAATTCTTACCAACAATTTACATAAATTTGAACAAACCAAGAAAACATCGAACTACCTATTGAGCCTACGCTCCAAGTTTCGACAATTACAAATGTACATTGTTTGTTACAGAAAAAAATATTCTTCCAGACCAACAATTTGTTGAAAGTTTAGCAGAGCTTTCGGAATCCATCCGGATCCCTCCATCAGTGATGGCGTATGCTGTTATTCGCAGCCTCGTTTTGATGAACATTGTTTGTTGTTTGTTTGCTTTGTTTTTTCGCACCCTCGGGTCTAATGTGCTCTGTTTCGTCATTGACGTGGACATTATATATTTGAACAGTTTTAATCCAAAACGCAAGTGCGTAAAGCAGTTTATGCAAACTTCTACCGTAAAATGACATAACCGTGAATTTCCTGTCCGACTATTTGAATGTCTTCTGTATTTGTACAGCCTAAGCCTCATTCACACGGCACCGAACGAATTTTCCACCGGATGAAAATCTTGACCGTACAGTTCGTTCACGCGGAAGAGTTTAGTATTAAATTCCGCTCTGTTCACACGGAACTTATGAACCAGGTTGAATTTAAACCATCTGCCCATCCGCAGACCGCTACTTTAACAATCCAAAATGGCGTCTCTCAGCTGAGTTACCACACATCCATGCAACAGCACCTTTGCCGTACAAAAGTTTAGACGGTAATGGTGTTCACACTGCGCCAATCGAATTTTCGAAGGTACCGGCCAACATTTTACCTCGATTATAGTGTTCAAATTTTTGCACAGTTAACGCGGTTTCTTGTAAACGGAACATCTAAACCCACGAATTTTCGACCGGCGAAAATTTGTCGAGTACCCTGTGAATGTACCTTTAGATGCCGTAACAGATGTCCACACGAGAATTGAACGATAACGATATTTTTCCCTTTACGACCGTTCAAGTGTGGATGGAAAAATCTGAAAGTGTTGGCACTCCTAATACAAGGTGTCAGTTACAGTACGTCTTGTTTTTCTTCTTTTTGTGCCCAAAAACAGAAATAAAGCGAATTAGGTTTTGAAAGATTAAATTTGAACCGATTTCGCAAAGTTCAATCAAACATTCACTATCACATTAGGCAAAAGAGGCCTTTAAATGGCTGTTGAAACTTGTTTACCTGGCTTTTAATGAATAAAATTTTTAATTTATCTAGGAAGACAAAATATACTGTGGTAGATAGCCAAAATTGTATTTCATTACGTACTTCCATGAAGAAAAAAAAATACGCATATTAATGACACACGCACGGCGTAATCGATATCCTAAGATTTTGGAGAAGCATAAAATTGTTCATGGGTTGCTTGTTAGCTCACTTCTATAGATTGACTCTTGAAGTTAACATATCTCCATTAGAACTGTTTTTATTTATATGTGATCAGTTTGCATGAGTTCGGGTGAGCTCGCAGCAGGCAGACATAAACAAGATATAAATTCCGCGTCATGAACTTATCACATTTCAAAAACACCGTAACACTGAGCTATTAGCATAAACAGGCTTTTATCGAATACGTCGTTATCAAGTTGTTTTTATTGCCCTCGACTGAGAATAAGAAGAGCTTAGCAAACGGAGTGATCCGTCGCCACTTCAGACTAAAAGGAGAAAGGATGTCGAAAGTGCTTGCAATTGTTCTGTTGACACTGTGAGTTCCAAAAATTAATTGGTAAGAATATAAACTAAATCCATTCCCATGCACTTAAATTCCAAATATCTTTCATTTAAACTGAAACATTTTTCCAGTACAATATCCAAATAGTGACGAAGAACAATTTACACTTGATAAAGCTTTGTTTTTTATGGCGCGCTGAAAAACGAAGCAAAAATGCTGCATGCTTATCCCACGTTGGCGACCTATGCGTGCATATTTTATGACAACAGAGTTCGCTACCGCAAATTTATTTTGGTTATATCTCTTAAAGATAGATCAACGTAAAACCAAAGATAATTAGATTCGTCAGTGTTTCATTTGAACCCATGTATAGCCCACATGCAGTAGACAATTTCGTATTTATTTCGCAAATTTGGTGGTAAGAATCCGTCATCTAAATAGTTCATTTACATCTTCAAGAAAACTTCACTGAATATTATTAATTAAATGGAAAGGATGTTCTTGTTCAATTTAATATAATAGGTGCAGTGGCAAGGTTTGAGACTTTGTGAAACCAGAGGTACAAGTTTGTGATGGACTTTAAATGTTCGCTTTTCTGTTAATCCTTTCTCTCAATCGTGCCCGGATCTAAAACCATTATTCATTCTGGCGAGGGCCCAGGAATCGAAATGTCAGCTTTTGAATTTTATTACGAAGGCAAATTTACGGCAAAAAAACCTAATTCTTAAGTCATCAGTTCAAGTCTCTCTATATGAATTATTAACGACTTTTCGAAAACAAATTAAACTTCATTTACCTTCAGCCAAATATTCAGGCTTTTAACCAACCGCATATTACAGGTAACTTGTATAAAAAAGACCTTCTAGTCGCGTCATATATCAGATACATCGACGGGACAACGTAAAAGACTTCTGTACACCATTACCGGCGTAAACTGAACAGAGTTGATTTTGTTTGTTTGTTATTTGTTTGTTTCTTGTTTTATTTTGTTTTGTCATACAATTCACGTGTTAATCTGCTAGAGAGCTCATTTGGGATTAGAATTTCTCAGTGACCCCGCAGACTGCAATTTAGAAGTGACCACTCGAATTTGTTGCCGGTTTTCACGTGTGACGTTATCAAAAATTAAACAAGAAAATTCTTAATTCTACTGCCTTTTAACTTTCATGACTTATTAGAGCAGCTAAATACGTACATTTTTACAAATTTTCAGTTCGAATGCATTCTTTGCTTTGCGATAAGGTAGGCTTGAATTTCTAAGCCTTTGCGTGACGACGTATTCAAATGACGGCCAAGAAAGCTGTCATGAAGCTTTAAAAACGTACTTGTATTTTGCGATTTTGCTATCTGAACGTCCTTGCATTAGAATAAGTATTACTTTAACGTGTATAAAGTGTTCGAGAGATTGATTCACCCTTTCGTACAGAAACTCAATAACAGATGTTTTGTTGGTTTCCGGCCGCCATATTGATGTCCATCACAGAGACCCCAACATGGTGTCTCCGTATAATAGGAGGCATTATGACGTCATCTAGACAAGGACCCGCAGGCGGCAACAAATAAACGTACTTGGTTTTCAACCAATCAGAAAATAAGACATTCCGGAAGTTTAATGCTACGTCTGCAACTGAAGTGGCTAAAGAACTCGCTAATATTCACCATTTTCACTCAGACCATTATGCAATCTGTTTACCACCCAAATTTTGCAAAATCATTTTTTCCAATTTGTCCTGGGTATTACAGTCGCCCCATGCCAGGAAAAACCGAAGACACTGGTTATACAAAATTTTGGGGGGTGAACATGGTGCATTGTAGCCTATGTGAAAATGGTGAACTGTTAGTGATCCTTGATGATATATATCTTCTTCATAACTCTACTGGAGCATTTTGTGTATGGGTAAAGGCACTAATACAACACTTAAGCACAGAATTGACCTACAACATCCAGCAATATCCTCGTGACATAACCCTGCTGCCTGATGATATTTCTTTGATATCTTCTTCATAACTCTACTGGGGCATTTTGTGTATAGGTAAAGGCACTAATACAACACTTAAGTACAGAATTGACCTACAATATCCAGCAATATCCTCGTGACATAACCCTGCTCCCTGATGGTATTTCTTTGATATCTTCTTCATAACTCTACAAGAGCATTTTGTGTATGGGTAAAGGCATTAATACAACACTTAAGTAAAGAATTGACCTACAATATCCAGCAATATCCCCATGACATAACCCTGCTCCCTGATGATATTTCTTTGATATCTTCTTCATAACTCTACAAGAGCATTTTGTGTATGGGTAAAGGCATTAATACAACTAGCCTGCGAACGGCAGACGTTTCTCCTCGCTCATCGCGGCTGAGGGACTTTTCGCGAGGAGGAACGTCTGCGACTCAGCGACAAAAATTCCATACTGGTGACGCAAAATCTGTCCTAATTCTGCGCTAATTGGTCGACGGAATAGTGTCATTGTTCTAGCTATTGTTTAGGAATGACAGACAAAAGACAAAAGGCGGAAAAGGACAAATGTAAACTCCATGAATCTCTAACAAAACAGTCAAAATTTGTGGAATATAGTCTTCTCTAGAAAAAGCATTTGAGTTTTGCTGGAGCTCATTCGCAGATGAACACCACACGTTTCTAAAATCGACCAGGAGAAACGTAAAATTAAACAAATTTCCATTTGGAGCCCCATAACTACCGGATTTATTAAGTAAACATTGATTTACGTCATCAGTATGGAATTTCTGTCGCTGAGTCGCAGACGTTTCTCCTCGCGAAACGTACCTCAGCGGCGATGAGCGAGGAGAAACGTCTGCCTTTCGCACGCTATAATACAACACTTAAGCACAGAATTTACCTACAATATCCAGCATTATCCCCGTGAGATAACCCCCTTTACCGCCAAGTAAAATATTATCGTAGTGTTAGAAGAACAATCTTTAGGTGTGCGGGAGTGTGCGCGTTCTCTTTTTTAACAGAAATAGGTTATTGTTATCAATTGCGTTGGTTAAAATTTTTTAATGTTTTCTCGGGCCGCTTCCAGTTCAAAGAAGGTTGCTGCTGATTCGATTGGACAAGAAAATTGATAAAAAACCTTTAGCTTGCCAATCATTTTCAGGCGACTAATTAATTTTTCTATATTTATTCATAATAAATGGACACGCTTGCTCGTTCACGGCCTTCTTGATGTTGACTCACATTTAAGTGAACTTCCTACTCCAAGAACGGTCAAATTCGAACGCTAATTCAAATTCGAAAATGCTATGACTCTGATGAGTAAATGTGTTAATCTTGTCTTTATTCTTGTAATAAAGGAGAAGCCTCCAACAGGCAGTTTTAATGAATGCGAGTGAAACCATTTGTACAACCTTACCACCGTAACCAATCAAAAAGAGAGTATTTCGCGCTGGTAAATATCACCATCTGGTTGGCTTGACTCTGTATAAATATCGGATCGGTTTAATGCAATTTTTGCATTTGACGTTATGGAACAAATACGATGAATCACCCTTTCTAAATTTTATTTTCTGCCGCGCAATGATCAGTTTAAAATATTACGATGCTTATAAGCTAAAAGAATGTTTAAATTTCCTTGTCTAACTTGTGTGATCTAGGTAAGAAGTCTTACGCGCCTTGATGAAAACCAGACAACGACTCGAGATAATCCCGCGCGTGGTTGATACGACCCAGCGAAGAATTATTCTGAACGTTGGAGGCCGAAAACATGAGACGTATCTAAGTACGGTGCGAAATTACCCTGATACGAGGCTCTATTGGGTCGTCGAGAACGTCACAAAAGCCATCGACTACGACTCTGAAAAAATCGAGCTATTTTTCGATCGTCATCCTGGAATATTCGAGCAGGTTTTAAATTACTATCGGACTGGCAAGCTGCACTGCCCGCACGATGTTTGCGGACCTCTGTTTGAAGAAGAGCTTGCGTACTGGGGAATTGACGAGAAAGAGATGGAACATTGTTGTTGGACCTCGTACACCCAGCATCGTGACGCCGAACAGAATTTAAAGAGTTTTAATGTTCACGAAAGCGACCAAGATCAGGACACAGACTTGGAGAACGATAGGTTAGATCCCACACCGGCAAGAGACTGCGGAAGGTTCACCTGGTGGACACAATATCAACCTAAAATATGGCCTATCCTTGAGGAGCCCCACTCTTCCAAAGCAGCCAAGGTGAGACCAGAAATTTTGCGCTTACTCGTTTTTCACAGCTCACATAATTTCTGCTATTGTTTCGAAAGACCTTTTTGGGATATTGTTTATTTAGGAGTAAGCTATATTGAAACTAATTTTCTACACTCGGATCCGTTATAAGGAATCGAAGCAGAGTAACAACTGCACTTGACGTAAGCAAGTCCGCGAAATCGTTTCTCGAGTTTTGTAAAGGTTCGTGAAGGTCGTGATACAAGATCGCGTTTTGAGTGTGGTCGCTAAAAACTGGTAACAATTTATACTGCAACAGCTGTTTCACAGTATAATAATTAAAGAAATTGTCTCTATTGTCTGCTGAAAATAAAACTGCAAAACCCCTTAATATTGTTTCTGGTTATGTTAAATGCAGGAGAATTTGGATAAAATTGCTAAAACGTAACTCATCGATTTTGTCCACTGGAACAACACCACCAATAAACAAACTCGCTAAAACTACACACTTCAGATGTAAATTAGCTGCACTGCTAATAGAAGATTTTTTTAAAGGAAGCAAATAATTGCTTTTCCGAGCACTAGAGAGCTTGCCGTGTTCCACCTGTTTTGACGCGCTTTTTTCGCAGAAGGAATATTCGTGATTCGGCCACAGGGGAAACAAGCTTGTTCTACGGGCAAAAACCGCATGTCGCTAATCAATGCAGTGCATCAAAAGAACAAGACATAATCGTTTATTCAAACAAGTTCTGGTCCGTTCCTGCTGTGTTTTTGACCAGATATCCTTGATCACAGCCCAGTATGAATAGAAAATTGCTTTTTGAACATGGAAACACATGTATCTTTTGTAACGTTCTTTTTATCACGCGCGGTTGTTAAAGGACGATAAATAAAAAAGGTGTGTGACTCTCTATAATGTTCGCATGTCTGACATTTTTCATAGACGTAATCTGCAAAACTACGAAACTTTGACAACTTTGACGGCGCATGACATAGAAGGCTCTGAGGCCTGGTTCAGACGCCGTACTTTTCATGTGCCGAACCTAACTGAATAAGTTCGACTTTGGAGCGACACTGGCGCGACATCTGATTCGGACGGCGTACCGTGTGTCGAACCTAAGTTAAGTTCGACAAAAGTTCGACAGACTCTGTCGAACTTAACGCTTTTGCCACAACAAACTAAGACTGCCGTACCAAATTGATTCAGACGCCGCTCTTTTGCCGTACTTAATTCATCAGTTAGGTTCGGCACATGAGTGGAGCCGCGTCTGAACCGGGCCTAATTTAACTGGAGAAAAGATTCGAAAACAAGGTCATTAAAATCATACTCAGGCTCGGGAATTTAAAAGTTTCGGTGCCAAAGATAATTCCTATGAAAGCAAAAAGCCGATTTCAACAGTCGTCAAAAAATTAAACAAAAGCCTTTTGGCGTCAAATTTGGAATCACAGATAAACTAAAACAAACCGATGTCACTAAATTAAAACACGAAGTTTCGGCTTACGCCTTGTTGCAGTAACCCGAAGAAATTTTAAGCCGATTAACTATGATATAAAGCCATTAGGACAAGACGACGATTCACCTTGGCCCATTAGGAATAACAATCTTTACGTTCTAAGGCTAATGTTGGTTCCTTATTCAACACATGCACAGGCAAGTAATTAATACAAAAACGTCACTTTTTACATTAAGGTCTGACTGCTGAATTAAATGAACATTGGCGCATATCATCTATGTTAGATCGTCTGTGAAACTCTTGTTTTTCTTCGAGAAAAAAGCAAAACAACGCCATTTGAATGATCAATATACCTATAGACGAAAAAATTAATACATTTATCGAGGTTTCGGGATGTACCTGTTTAGCACCGATAAGCTACGGACGACGTTTGGTTTTATTGGTATGTAAATCAACTGAAAACGAAGGTAGCATTCAAGGATTAGTTTGTTTGGTGAAAAGATATGCTTTCAAGTAATTACAAATAAAATTCATAAACAAGATTCTAATGAGAAACCCAAAACCGCAGGCGGTGTGTATTACAACAAAAAGGTTTTCATTTTCAATGATAACAGGAAGCTTTCAAATCCTGTTTGACTGTTCAAGAAGATGATCAACGTATCAGCACTTCCCTCTATGAAAAATATATTTCTGAACGAAGTTGATTAAAATTCTTCGATGAAAGACATGTCAAATCTTGATGAAACTTGACTATTAAAATTGTTAAGGCACTGAAATGGAAGATAAGTCAGCTTAAACGATATAGACCACAGCTAATTCATTTTAATTTCTTTTTTCTTTTTTTTTTTTTTTGTCATTTGACCTGGGTCTAAACATTAAAATTAAATGGCATTTCATCTCCCTTATGCTGAGAAGCGACCATTAACTCTGAATTCACCGCCAAGTAAAAGATCGCGATTCGCAATTATCATTTAAGCGTCGGGATTCAGAATGTTAAAGGACTGAAAGCATCTCCAATTCTGCGCTCGTTTCTCCGAGTATAACTATCAGATGAAACACACCTTGAGTTGAACGTCATCTTTTTTTTAACTGAACGTGTTATACTAAGGCGCTCGATAATATCTTCAAAGTTAATATTAAAACAAAACTTATTGTTAAATAGCGAATTTGCTTTTATCACCCTTATTCCTGACCAAAATTAGTTTCCGCGTTTATTTTTTACAGATATTTTCAATAATCTCTGTGACGCTGATCATGCTATCCGTGTCTATTTTTACAGATATTTTCCACAATCTCTGTGGCGCTGATCATGTTATCCGTGTCTATTTTTACAGATATTTTCCATCATCTCTGTGGCGCTGATCATGTTATCTGTGGGCACATCGTGCGCGTTGACTCTTCCCCAGTTCTCCAAGAATTCCAGAGTTAACATAGGGTCGGCGGCGCCGGAAAAAAACCCGACGATTGACACTATCTTCATGGTCATCGATTACGTCTGCGGTATTTGGTTCACATTTGAATTGCTCATGCGCATTACCTTTTGTCCCAGAAGACGTATCTTTATCCGACAAGTAACAAACTGGATCGATATCCTGTCGGTAATTCCGTTCTATCTTCGGCTCATTGATCCCGATGGTGGTCCTCTGGCGGACGCACTTCTTATGATTCGCCTTTTTCGGCTCTTCCGCTTCTTTCGCTTGCTGTATGGTCTTCAAATTATATTACACACACTAAAAGCGAGCTCGTACGAGTTAGGACTACTGCTGTTGATTCTCTTGATCCCTGTTGTTTTGTTCTCGTCAATTATTTACTACATCGAGCGAACTTTTGATGCCAATGACACGGAATTTCGTTCAATCCCAGAATCCTTTTGGTGGTCGCTTATTACCATGACTACTGTTGGTTACGGTGACATAGTTCCCAAAACGTGGATAGGAAAGATCATTGGAGGTGCATGCGCGATATGCGGTCTTCTTGTCGTAGCTCTCCCGATTTCCATAATTGGAAGTAACTTCAATCTCTATTACGCACATGCGCAAGCAAGACTTAAACTTCCAAAGAAGAGAAACAGGGTGTTGCTAAGTTCAATTACTTCCGATTTTTCCAGTGGCAGAGCGTCCTCCGGTCCAAGGCGCCGAGGATTACGAATGCGTAGTCACGTGGCGCTTGAGACAGGAGACGACGAAAACATTATGCCTGGAATGTCTAACGGTCGTTCATATCGGCTGAACAGTTTTCCAAGGCAGAATTCGTACGAGGTGAAATCGAGAACAGGGAGTCTTCCTACAAGCAACGGACAAACGAGTGATCCAAAAACCTCGCCCACGAGTTCCTGGTCCAACAGGGAGCGTAAATATAGCCGTAACGAAAGGATTCTCCCTAAGCTTGGAGATCTTCCAGAAAAGGACGAATCGGAAGAAAACGAAAAAGTGGAGGAAAATCAGGGATCAGATTTTAAACCGGACTTAGGACTTAAAAAGAACTCACGAAACAGTTTGAACGTGCCTGGGGTAACGCATGGAACCCAGGCAGACAGACTGCCGCTATGGATAGCGGAAAGCAGCAAAACTCCCCGCGTACGTTCATTTAGTGTACCTTCTAATACGCACAGGACGATCTCCGGGCCGCCGCCCAGAAAAACGCAATCACAGGGCTCGGATATTTGTAAGCGATGCTCTTTGCCAAAAGATGAGAGCTCGAATAGTTCTTCTGGAGAAGTGTGTTGTTGCTCAGAGAAACGAGGTATTTCACTGCATGGAAGTAATACTTCAACCTATACTATATTCATTCCTGGTACTGACGAAGGAGTACAAGTTAGTATGGAAAGCATACCTTCCTGGAGTCGACAATTTTCCTGCAATGGAACTTCCCAATCGCCAGTTCAACTCGATGTTGTGCCTTGCTTTGACAGGCCGTTACCTGACGAGGACAGTGAGACAGAAAATCAGGAAGAACAAGATGAACAAGAAACACTTGTCAGTGAATTAGCGAGTGAGGATAATAACAGCAGACGTGAAATTAACGAAAAAACAAAAGGCTCTACAAAAGGAATACCCTTATTATACATGCCTAAGGGGAAAGCTCAAGATAATATTTCGGACAAAGAAACGCCAATATAACGTCAAGTGTTCCAAACGAAAAAAACAGTGTTGCGTAGACTCGATTTGTTGTCTGGGTGTATTATTTCATGATATAATTTTTTTTCTAGTCAACACCAAACCAGGACTAATGCGTAGACTTGATCATTAAAGAAACAGTATCGCAGAAATTCTCCCAGGTTTAAGTTTGGCCCTTTCACTTCAAATAGTATCCTGAGAAAACAGCCGATATTTGGCGACGCTGCCGCTAGTTTCCCTGCCAAATGATGTCTGAGAAACGAGCGCAGAAATCCATACTGATGACGCGTCACTACCCAGATCTGGGTAGTACTTCTGATTGGTTGAATCAAATTTTTCACGCGGCACGGCCGCAGTTTTAAGTAATACAAGCTTCTTGAAGGGACTCTCCACAAACATAACTGAGACATGGTAAGCAACATAAAAAGGAAAGGAAATAAAGGTAGACGTCAATTTTTAAGAAAAAAAAGGGCGATTCAATGATCAGTTACTTGTACGGCTTTTTTGTTTGGTTCCTTTTGACGCGTGAAATTCCACAGCATAATTTCTAGTTCTTGTAACTGACTGTGCGAAAAGTTTTGTATATTGAATTAAAAAAGAGAGAAAATCCATTTCTTGGTAATTATGTTTTAAAACATTTGAAGATCACTTCGCCTTGAGTGTTTAAGTAACTAGATTTTATTTGATTTGTACAATTTTTGGCAAACAAAACAATAAACAATAAAAACAAAAAAAGTTTCACAGCTGACAGACGACAAGCACTTCCCTTCGAGAATACCAGTCAAAGAATACCATTATCGTATTTATTCGAATAAGCGCCCAACCACGAATTAGTGCACACCTTGAATAAGCGCCCATCCTCAAGGCAGAAAAAGTTAATAAGCGCCCACCCCCGTCCTCCTCCCACTCATTAAAATTGAACAAGTACTAGTATTTTACAGAAGCCTTTCTTTGTTACATCTTCGCGTTTTGTTATTACCATTGCTTGTTTTGTTGCCAAATAAACCTGCTACACCCCTGGTCAGCTGTCATAAAAAAGTGGTCTCTTTCAAACTAGTTTTTTAATTTTTAACCGTTTGAGCTGAGACTTTGCACGATAATAGAACTTTGCATTCCCAACAATCGTATGTTTTTGGATTTTTTATTTTAACGGTTTTTGGCGCGAAAATGAGGTCATAAGATTGACAGCAAAAAATAGTTTTCGACTTATGGCGTAAAAAACTGGAACTTTTAAAAGAACTTACAGAGATGAGCTCAAATGTGAAAAAAGTATTTGTAAAGCTTAATTGGTTGAAAAGTTATTGAGCTGTGAATTTCGTATTTTCCGCCATTTTGTTACTATTTTTAGAAATTTGATGATCTTTAGAATGTCATATCTTCTTAACCAAATGAGGTTTTCAAAAAATTTTTTCACATTCAAGTTCTTCTCTGAGTACTCTTTCAAACTTGCTCACCTGTTATGGCATAAGTTAAAACTTATATTTTGCTGCCAATCTTATGACGTCATTTTCGCGCCAAAAACCGTTAAAATCAAAAATCCAAAAACATACGATTGTTGGGAAAACAAAGTTCTATTATCGGGCAAAGTCTCAGCTCACACCGTTAAAAATTGAAAAACTAGTTTGAAAGAGATCACTTTTTGATGACAGCTGACCTGGCGTGCTAAACTTGCTGAAAATGGTGAAAATTTAATAAGTGCCCAGCCTCGAATAAGTGCCCACGATCAAGGTCCAAAAATTTAACAAGCGCCCAGGGCGATTAATCGAATAAATACGGTACTTCCCAAAATAGACCATTTTACTATTGTGTGCTTAGTGCCCTGGCCTTTGAGTAGAAGCGAGGTTGGAGGAAAGAAAGCGAGTGCAATCTTTTCCTCTGGTACACAACAATAGGCCAATCTTTGCTGACGTCATTGTTTACATTTTTCCTCATTCGCATACGACTTAACTCAAAGAAGCCGTGGCCGTATATATGAACTAAATGGAAAAGTTGAAAGAGCAGATTATTAAAAGCAATATTATTATTAAAAGCAATATTGAAGGAACTACAACTGCGAAATTGCTGGGAGGCAAAAAAGTTAATGAGCCATACATTCTTTGTAAAATTTCGAGTTTTTAAAAGAGAATTTATCCGAAACCATTCGGTATATCGGGCTCAAATTTTCAGAGATAACTGAAATTGCTATGCTCTTTCAATATTCAGGTGTTTTATTTTATTCGCTTCATCAGATAATGATGAGCATATGTTAATGAGGCAGAAAGGGTAAACAAAGATTCGCCTATAGCGGAGCCCCATAACTATGAAAACTTGGTTATCTATCGATCCGATAAATTTTGGTAGTCACGTGACCGTACGTCCGCCCGTTCGCACCACGGGGAAAACAAGGTGAAACGTGTGCAAGCCTGCAGCTTGATATTGCACATCCACGTTGTGGTCAATTGACAGCTGTCAAAACAGGGTATCTGCTGACCAGTATCACATGAGCATATCGCGGGCTCATGTCGACCGATCAAGGTAACGTGTTTTTTAGAGCTCTCCGCTGACAAGTTACCGGTTTTCAACTGATCGCAAGCTCAACTCTAAGTAAGTCTCTTTGCAATGGTTAAAAGTTAGGAATTTATTATCGGGGGCTTCACCTTTAGCCTTGGCTAAGTCTGCATATTAAAACCTCTCTAAAACGGACCCTAAAGAAATATCTACTTGGACTGAGCGGGAGGGCCGCAGAGGAAAATATTTGGCTCGAGGTCTGCGCGAGGTCCGTGCGTCCTGACCGAGAGCGAAATATTTTTCCGTCTGGCCCGAGCTAACTCAGTCAATACGCATTTTATCCTATGACCGTTGTGTTTTTGAATTTTTCTGACGGAGCAAACCGCATCGATCAGTAAGATTTTCTAGCAGGGCCCTACGCATCCTCGGAGACCCAGGGGCGGTCAGTCGGGCCGGACTCTCACCGGACCACTTCCAAACGGTTAAGCGAATGCTGGCTTCTGATTGGGCACAAAAAATGCTTTGTATTATTGTGCCCAATCGGCGAACAGCATCTCCTGAGTTCTTTTCGTGAGTTCGTACACGACGGCTAATAGGGAGCTTAAGCAGCCACGACGACGACCACAACGACGACTTCAAAAAAACCACAGGTTTAATGATCAAAACAACAGCTCTGCACGTGCATCACGCTTTTTGGTACATTTCTTTGACGTCCACTGCACGACAACGGCGTAAAACCTTCTAATTTGACGCTTTATGGAGGACGTGGACATACTACGACGAATTTTTCTTCATCTTTTTGAGCCTGAATAAAATCCTTAAGAATTCAACTCCGGGAAAAGTCGCCTGCATTTGACATAATGAGTGATCCAAATACACACGATTAAGTTTGAAAGAACGCAAATTCATTTTTTTACCGTAGTTCTGGCTTATACACCAAAGAAATGCACGCAGTCAGGAATCTTTCAGTTTGATATCAACGCTACATTTCAAAATACTGGTAGTTTTTACACTAGAGCCTAAATAAGCTAAGAAATATTTCAAGACAAGTAAATTTTAAATTCTTAAAGTAAAAGAAAGCTTCACACACAACCTATCATTTTTACTTCAGGTTTCCCCACGCAACGTAATTAAGATTGATTGACATGCTTCGCCTTTGTCAAAGCTTGGAAACCGCAAGTCCGCTAAGTCGGTTTTAAGCATGGTTTTCAAGTCACTTGAAACTTTCTTGAATCGTGATGCAAAGTAAAGTTACTTGAGATTTTGCTTAGGCCTTCACACACGCATTTTTGGTTAAGTAAAACTTAGCAGCTCTTAAGTCTTACTTAACAGCCTAGTGTAAAGACAACCACCGTTTACACGAAAACTAAAGACGCTTTTCCAAAAATACAAGCTTGAGCTTACAACAGGTATTCGCGCTTGCATCGATCACGCCTTCGCAAGTATTTGGGAGTTTAATATGCCATGACAGCTGACAACCACGAAAACATAGCATAAAGAGTGAACTCACATGTTTTCAGTCTCTATCGTGATTATTCCAACTCACCTACTTTGTCAAATGCAAGCGAACTTCTCCTGGAGCTGAATTTCTATCAACCATGTCCAAGTTCATAAAGAGAAAGAAAATTCAATTTGTCATTGCTTGTTTATGTCCTTCACAAAACGTGAAATTAGGCATTTTCACGTGGTAGTCGTGCAGTGACGGCAAAGAAATATACAAAAAGCGTGATGCACGTGCAAAGTTGTTGTTTTGCCTTTTCAAGCTATTTGTTTTTTTACTTTCTCGTCCCCACTTCATCTTAAACTTCCTATTATTTACGATACATTGTGATCCGTCAGAAACAGATTTTCTCAGTGCAAATTGAATTGCTTCTGCTGATAGCATCCGAAACGTTTTTCGATTCATCGGTAGTTCCTTCGTTTCTTCTTAGGAAAGTTTGGTGAACGAACCGGACAACTGTGGCGAGATAATAGCCGTCGTGTACGAACTCACGAAAAGAACTCAGGAGAAACTGTTGGCCGATTGGGCACAATAATACAAAGCATTTTTTGTGAGCAATCAGGAACCAGCATTCTCTTGACCGTTTGGAAGTGGTCCGGTGAGAGTCGGTACCCAGGGGCTCTTCCACCCACACTTGGAAAACTTTCGTCGCGCCTTTTAACCCGGCCCGACTGACTGCCCCTGGGTTTCCGAGGATGGGCCCTACGCGTTTTTCTGGCCCTATTACTTGAAGCGTAAGGCCCTCATACCGTACCGTTTTCAAATGGTTTTCCAAAGAAATTGCGCGCGGGGCCGTACGGGTCGTATCAGAACATAACTCAGTATTATCAGCGATACAGAGGGCGCGATCCATTCAACCAAAATTCCAACCGGTCTGACCGGGAAAAGTGGTCCACCTCAAAAGGTGGACCCGATTTTTCGAAACTTTTCCGGTTGGACCGAACCGATCCATTGAGTTTTGGACCGAAATTTCCGGAAATTTTGGTTGAATGGATCGCGCCCAGAGGTTATTGCACTTTCGCGGTAGGCATAGCCTGCGTAGCAGGCGCTTGCAAGTAGTGGGCACAAGAAAAAACGGGCGCGCGAGAAGGAGTCTCCCTCGCGCGCGCCCGTTCTCTCTTTCGCCCGCTACTTCCAAGCGCCTGCTACGCAGGCTACGGTAGGCATTGTCACGTGAAGTTTGGTTAAACTCCGGGACCAAGAAAGCGATCCCTGGTTGAGAAGAAGTTTCCCTTGGCATTTGTAATCCAAACTAAAACTTAGCTTGAACGACATTTTAGCAACATTTCATACACAAATACGTAAAATTGGCACTGGCGAAAGTTCTTCAGGACAAAATTTCGAAGGTACGTACGTAGTAAGAACAGACAAAATGTCGTTGATGCTAGATAAACCGCGGTACACAACTTATGAAG